GTGCCTTGCGCTTAAAAAATGACTAGGGTGCAATGTCAAATGACGTGTTCCACAACTCGTCAGGTCATGTTTCAGTTGATTTACCGGTTGGTTCTATAATAGAAGAGGATGAGGATGAGGATGTAGATGCTGAAGAGGAGGAACATCTTGATAGTATGCAGTGTGCAATTGGAGAGGCCAATGATGACGTACGTTGGATGGATGAATATTACGTAAATAATGACTATGTAGAGTCTGAAGAGCCGTTGCCAGAAAAGTTTTAAAATGATGAGTGGATAAATGCCTCACAAGCTGAGTCCGTTGAGTCTGGTCCTAAATTTGATCGACCCGATGACTTTAAAAAAAGAACTTTTCGAGAATAAGAAAACATTAATTTTCGCTATACGTGAATGGGCAATCAAAAACCAGGTCAAATTTAAGACGGTGAAAAGCAACACAACTAGCTATCATGTAAAGTGTTACTTTAATGAGAAAGGTCAAGGAGAGAATACAAGTGCTGCAGATGATAAAAACTCAAAGTGTTCATGGAAGCTTAATGCAGTTGTTAGGAAAAAATCTAATAGCCAATTTATGATCTCTAGTTATTGCGGACTTCATACATGTTACAATCCGACTGCAAATTATGATCATAAGACTTTGACTTCCTCTTATATCATGAAGCTAATTATGCCCGAAGTTAGACAGGAACTTGATCTTATTCCAGGACAGATAATTACAAGGGTATATGATATGAAAAGAATAACAATATCCAAATACAAAGCATATGATGCACGGAGGAAGACGTTAACTAAAATCTTTGAAGATTGAGAGGAATCTTACCAATTACTTCCGCATTATCTTGCAGCAATTAAGAGAAAAAATCCGGATACCGAATATGAGATGGTGTCTAAGGAGGTCGCGTCGGAATATGAGAGGTTCATCCAGGTATTTTGGGCATTTGGGCTCGCTATCAGAGGGTTCTCTTTTTGTCGTCCGCTCTTGAGTATCGATGGTACACATTTATATGGCAAGTACAAAGGAGTGCTCTTGGTTGCGATCGGTGTAGATGCAAACGGTGGGCTATTTTCTATAGCTTTTGCAGTTGTGGATGTGGAGGATACATCGAGTTGGAAGTGATTTTTTCAATGTATTTACAGATACATTCTGACTGTTCAAAGTCCAAGAGTTATTACTTTTATTTCTGACCGAATGAAGGGAATTCCACGAGTCTTGCACGAGGGGTGGAGTGCACCACATCATCACCAATATTGATTGCGGCATATAAGAGCTAATTTAAAAAAAACATGGAGAGGTCAATTTACAAAATCTATTGTGACAAGCCGGTTGTGCAACTGACTCACTGGTATATGAGCATTGTAGGGAGAAACTTAAATCCCTATCACTTGAAGCCCACGATTGGATTGAACAAATCTTGAAGCCGCAATACAAAGATCAATGGGCATTATGTAAAGATGGAGTGTGATATTGTATGATGACAACTAATTGCTCCGAAAGTTTTAATGGCGTGCTCAATACAAAAGACAAGCGGGACGACCAAAATCCGTACGCATTAGAGGTACTATGGATCAAGATCGTGAAAGAGTAGCATCACAAATCCGTTGTGGACAATGTAATCAATTAGGTCATAATAGGTCTCGTTGTCCATCAAGAGCAAGTAGATAGCAATTAATTGGTAAGTAAATATTTTCTATTAATAGGTTATCGTTATATGTTATTGATTTAGCAAGTAGATACATTATCTATATGTTATTGATTTGGCAGAAACTAATAAGTTATCGTTATATGTGCAGGTATATACATGATGCTTCCAGGGCCGGTTACTGATGAAGTCCTCTATGATCAGTCACGCCATCGTTCAGAGAGCATATCGTTTACATCGGTAATGATGACCTATTTACAGTCACATATTACTTATTCATTCTTATATTATAATATTTGTTTTCATTAATGTGCAAAGAGGACAATAGCTGGTTATGATTGATTATAGCCTTGGACATACGCGCTGGCCACTTGATGATCCTTGCATCATTGCCCTAGTATCCCAAGCTGGTTTTCTCACTTGCTCAAAATTAAAATAGATGAAGCTCGATTGGGCACTGCTTAACGCGTTGATGGATAGATAGAGGTCGGAGACTAACACTTTCCATCTACGTGTCGGCGAAGCAACTATTACTCTCCAAGATGTAGCAGTGATCCTAGGTCTCCGCATTGATAGCACTTGTGTCACGGGGACTGATAGGCATGTTTGGAGGGACACATGTAATAATTTGTTAGGAATATCTCCAGAGTCCTTGCCTGGAAGGTATATTAGATTGAAGTGGTTAAAGGAGAGTTGCAAACCCATGCACCTAAAGTGATGATCCAACAGCATGTCAGACCAAATATTTTGCACGTGGTCGGGACGCTTCTTTTTCTAAATTCAAGTAAACATAAAGTCCATTTGAGGTAAGTACACTTCATAAATTGTTATAATGCATTTGAATGTGATTTTTATGCTAATTCAAGTATTGATTTTTGCTCACTATTTTTAGCAAATATGACTAACGCATTTGAACTCGCGCTAGGTGAATTCAAGTATTGATTTTTGCTCACTATTTTTAGCAAATATGACTAACGCATTTGAACTCGCGCTAGGTGGTTACCACTTCTGATTTTTGCTCACTATTTTTAGCAAATATGACTAACGCATTTGAACTCGCGCTAGGTGGTTACCACTTCTAGAAGACTTTGACGTGTGCGGGACATTATCCTGGGATAGTGTTGTTTTAACATACTTATATCAAGAAATGTCAAATGTTGCTTTAATGCAAAATAAAGAGCTCAAGGGCTGTTTAACATTGCTACAAGTTTGGGCATGGGAGAGGTTGGTTTTGAAACCACGATTATGCGAGATCCGAGAGTTAGATGGACATATTCCACTTGGCTGCAGGTAAAAATCGTCAAATTGAATCTCGTTTTTATTAATTTTAAATTTAACATTTTGAACAAAAACCTATCTTGCAGATGGAATGTCACAAAAGCCTATGATGAGACCCCGACTAGGCAACTAGATTTTTACAGAGGGGAGCTCGACCGGATAAAAAATTTTCAGGTATCAAACTTGAATTGAAGGCGTTTAAAGCTATTGATATATTTCAAAGAGTTGTTTATATATGGATTATTTTGCAGTTCGAGTGGCAGCCATACACCCCTCACCTACCTCATCTACCGCTGATTTGTATGGAGGGACACGGCATATGGAGGGCCAGAGTTCCTCTCATTTGTTTCGAGATTGTGGAGATGCACGTACCCAATTGCGTGTTTAGACAGTTTGGATTCGCGCAACACGCTCCACAATTTGTCAAACAAATAGAGAGAAAGGCGTCTAATGGTGGACATCAAATTGACTAGCGGCGCACGCATCAATCATACATCGCTAGGTGGAATAATCGACATCAACTTATTGTCGATCAGCTTTATCCTCCGATGGAGGAAGTTGATTACATTAAATGGTATTGGGAGATTACCAGACGTTGGATAATCACTCAAACTGCACCTCCAGTCGACAAAATCGAGATTCGTTCCCAACAATCCTGATATGTACCAAGAGGGATAGATGAGAGATGATGGGTAAGTAAATTGTGAAAATTATAATAGAATGTTCAACCTCTTGTTAGCTTTTGGTTTCTTATATCAATATTTTTATGTAATTGTAGATAGATGTTATGGACGAAGTCGAAGGGATTGCAAATGAAGGCATAGCTACCGCCACAGAAGATTCAGTACACGTATCGATATTGCATCAGATAGTGGCGAGAGTTCGTAGAGCTTTTCAACAAACTCATGAGAATCGGCATAAAGGTCGTGAGCATGTGGATCTTGAAGATACTCTATATGCACGCCGACATAGACGTGGTAGACGTTACACGCACGACGATAAAGCTGGTCCGTCACAGCCCAACACACAACCGGAGAGCGAGCATATACAAGCTCAAGTCGAAGGAGGACGCCGGCGATCTCAACGAGTGTGGAGAGAGACAACGAGGGAGGGGTGGATTTTTTATTTGTTAGTTTTTCCACTAAGATATATATTGTCGTATGGATTTATTGACATTTGATTTGTTTAGCTTAAACTAAATATTATCGTATGGGTAGACTTGATACATTTGCATTTGTTTAGCTTAGACTGATATATATTATCGTATGGATTTGTGATGTGTATTTTTGTCGGATTTTGGATGTAATGTGTATTTCGTCGGCTTTTGGATGTGATGTGTATATCGTCGGATTTGTGTTGTGATGTTGTTGATTACGTAGGATTTGTATGGTAATGTTGTGTATTTTTGACATTTGTGTTGTGATGTTGTAATTTTATAACTTTTATCAAAGTATACAATGTGAATGACATATTTTTGGTGAAAATTTTGGTTGTATATGAATAAATGAGGCATGTGCATGTTTTGGCTCTGCCCAGCAAATCCACGGGACGACTAGTCCCATGGATTTGCTGAGCACATGCGAATATGTCTCTGCAACATGTACGGGACTACTAGTCCCATACGTTTTGGTAATGATCTCAGAAAATATACGGGACTAGTAGCCCCGTATGTTTTCTGAGTCCACTAAGCGCTGATTAAGTTGGCTCTAAACATACGGGACTACTAGTCTCGTATGTTTTCTGAGCCTTGTTTTTTAAAATCGACCTCTTTTAGGTCTATTTTGCTAAATATTTAGCAAAGTGGTCTATTTTGCTAAATATTTAGCAAAGTGGGCTATTTTAAAAAAATCCCCTAAAACAAATCATGTCCATCAATGTTCATCGTTTTATTCAATAAAGCTTATATGCTGTGCTAACTTGAATTATTTAATTTGACTAACTTCAATTAGTTATATCCTTATGAACCTGACCAATGATTTTACATTTCACAGGTCGACCAAAACTTTGCAATATCAGGTTGCCTACATCAGTAATGAAGTGAATGCTGAGGCCAAAGTAGATAATAAAAGACGTAATCTTTTACCTTTCGTTCTGACATGTAGCAGATATTCCAGTTGGAATATGTACTATCCTCACTGCACTATCAGTAGTGTTAGCATGCTGACCGCCAGCCCCACCAGAACGAAACCGCTCAATACGAAGATCCGACTCTTTTATCTGGAAATGAGTAGAAACATCCCCTAGGATCGGGATTACTGCTACAGCAGCAAAAGAAGTGTGCCGGCGTTTTCCACTATCGAAAGGAGATATTCTCACCAACCTATGCACTCCAACTTCTGCTTTGGCATAACCATATGCATATTCACCATCTACTTTGATTGTTGCACGCTGAAAACACAGTCAGTTAAAATCAAATCAGCCATACACTTGCAGAGGCCTCTAAGTTACATACATATGCATGTACATACATATGCATGCATATGCTATGCCTACCAGTGAGGTTGCACTGGTAAAGTGGAGAATATCTTGGCTATCATACATACAAACTATGCTTCTGCCGTAATTAGAACAATAAATTTAAAAAGGTTATTCCATCCAAAAAGAGCTGTGTGTATCAACTTTATCAAAAGTAATGATGCTCTACATTCTGACAAACTGATTGCTTTCCTGTCTTCAATTGACAGAAAACTTCTCAAATCAATAATAAAATACACATTATCCAAAATTGAGCTAGCACGATATAGGAAAGATCTCATTGAACTTACCTCTCTGTTTTTATGACCTGCTTAAGGGTACAAACGGCTCAGATATGGCTCAGATATGATACTATATACTTATCCGCTTACCAATCACAAATATGGATACGGATATGTCTCGCTAAGGAAAATTCACATCCATATCCGCTAAAATCGGATACAGATACGGATATGCAAGCATATATAAGCAGATATACATGAAGATATAAAACATATATGAGAAAATCAAATAATATCAAAATATAGTTTATATGATATAAGAGAGCTAATTAGTATGTTCTTCATTATATCTAAAAAGCTACAATTAGATCTCTTGATCATCAAAATCAACCTCTAATTCATTAAATCTAAGGTATTGTGACTGAATGACCAACATATATTCGGATATTTCATATACAAATCGGGATATTTCATTTCATGTCCATATCCGTAACCATGTGCTATAGAATATAATTTTAGTAACCATATTCAAGCATGATACAAATATAGATATTTCCTCGGATACTGATATGTTTCTGCACCCCTACTTCTGCTCATTCGAAACATTGTCCAGAATAGGTAACTGTTGCCAAATCCTGACATTTTACAAGTTGATCGAGTTTGCAAGAGTTCAGGTTTCTATCAAGGCTAATTGTGAGACCCCATTTTTGAGTTCTTTTCTTGGGCTGAATCAGGTATTAAGGCTACAGTAGAAAATATTTATTAGAATTATGATCCAAATACAAATCGGACAAAATCAAGGTTTACATTTAGAATCTATCTACACTAGCATGTGAAAAATTATAGACAAATTAAACAGCTTCCTTTTAAAGGTTCAGACTTTTGTGCCGATCTTCATCTTTCACAATTACCAACATATAAGAGTGTAAATCTAAAAACTGAATTAACAAAAAATTTCCAGAGATAAGTGTTAAACCATTGGTTCTCTCATGCTCATTCAAGCAATAGCAAGAGTTTTATCCACATTGGATGAGGATAATTGATCTTTTGATTCTAGTGGATGTAACAAGGAGATCGAAATGCACATAAAGGTAGTTGAGAAACTGCAGATTCGCCTACTTTCCTCTTGAGCTATATAAGTTCCTTTGTTTTGTTAAACATAATGTAATCTGCAGACCTCTTGCTTCACCGCAAGAGGCTTTATCACTGGAATACACTGGGTTTTCACTGTAGGAAAACATTCCAACAAATGGTGTTTATACTATTAAATAAAACAGTCACAGATGACTGTTTGATGCATGTGGAACAAACTTCAAGAACAAGCATGTCTTCACTTCATAAAAATTTATTCAAGGATCTTCAGGATGGGAATATTTCATAAAGATATCTAGTTCCAGTGGCAACAAAGTTTATTATTCATTAGTAGCCAGAGATCATAAACAATTTCTTAATTAAATTAAATTAAAACTTTACCAATATTTGAAAAACATTCCCCTATATGAGTAACATATGAAAGTAGGAAAGTGAACCTTGATTCCTGCTATCTCACCAGGCATTTCATCCACCAGAGTGACCTGAAACCCATGGTTCTGAGCCCACATCTTGTACATGTTCATAACCATGGAAGCCCAATCATTGCTCTCTGTTCCACCGGCTCCCGCTTGAACCTGAATCACAATATTAATCACCCCAGGTATCAAAATCTTTACTGTGAATTGCTAGAAGACAAGAATAATAGAACCTTTCTACTTGATATATTACATCTTTTTTAAGGTCATATTTTTCCACTTGGTGATAGATGGGGATATGAAATTGATCAAGCCTTAAAAAGGAATTATTTAGCATAATTATCAGCATAATTAATTATATACTTTTATGGAGTGGAAGTATTAATGAGATAGGGACTCCTAAGTTCCCAAAATTAAGCCATATAGGCAAGTCACCACTGACTACAACAAATTATTTGCACCAAAGAAAGAAGTGTAATCTTCCAGCCACTTGAAAAGTAAATTCCATGTATATTGGCTGTTTCACGACATATTTGAGAGCCCTATTCACACCTAGATGTATTTGGCATGAAATGTACAATTATTCCACTAAAAGGAATCACTAAGCTACTATTCAGATAGGAAAAAGTTCATCACTTCATTTTGTCAACTTGCTTGAGCATAAGGAAAAGACAATGAAATGTACAATTATTCCGCTGAAAGGAACTCATTCACTAAGCTGCTATTCAGACAGGAAAAAGTTCATCACTTCACTTTGTCAATTTACTTGTGCATAAGGAAAAGACACAATGAAATGATCAAAGCAACCTCCCCTGTCTATCCTTGTTTGATACTTTCATGGAGCAAAACAGAATGTTATCTACATGTTTCTGTATCAATTCTTGATGATACAGATTGTTATTGTTTATACTTCGTATATGGGAATTCTCAACTTCAAACAGTTGAGAGAAATATCATCGAAAGTCGTTCCAACAAACCCTAATCCCTAAATAGAGAGGAGTCATCGTAAAGCGGTCATGAATAGTAAACCCATGTGTCCAGACACCCAATTAGCTAAAAGCCTAAAAGTCTAATAATATCTAACACAAACAAGTATAATGTTATTATATAATAATAATAGACAGAAGATCTAAGCTCACAGCTGAAGGTGTCGAATGTTGCAGTGAGTAGTTCATGTCAAGACAGTTACTTCATAATAAATTTGTCCTAGCTAACAATAAAGATTGAGGGATGGAAGTACGACACTGTTCAGAAGAAAAAAGAAGGTAGGTGTGGGATGGGAATGAAAGTAGGATGGAGAAGCACACTTATTTTGTACGAAAGAATGATGTATTAGAACTCCTTTTAGATAAATAAGAAAATGATTTCTCAGAAACTTATGCCTAATACATGATATGATTTCCAGTCTTTTTACATCTTATAGGCCAGCTCTTCATCTAAGAAAATTTGGATATAGGTTCATCTGTGTGCCAATTTGGCACTTGAAAATTTGGATATAGGTCCATCTGTGTGCCAATTTGGCACTTCATGTTCTATAACATGTCCTTCTCATAGTTACCTTTTTCAACTTTAAGGGCCATGTTTGGATTGGGTATTATCTTGAGGAAATAACACTCTATCCTTGAAAATAAAACAGTGGGGTGTTAGGGTTTTTTTCTTTTTGGGTGGGTGGGGGTGTTGGGGGGATGGACTAGCTGGGACTACTTAGTCCTTTAAAAAAATAGTCTACAGATTTCAGAACAAAGGGGGACGGAGGGCGTCATTACAGTTTCGGGATTATTTTCCATTTAGTATTAGATACAAAAAGACCTTGTTGCCCCTTACCTTTCCTAAACATTATCTACTATTGCATTCTCTAATTATTTCCCTCATCCACTTCTTTTGATGTTATCTACCAAAAGAAAAAAAAATGAACCACAGTTCCATCCCAGAGGAAAAAAAATTCCGAACACCATTCGCTTACAAGCATCTCTTGAAATACACATTACCTACCTAAGCTTTTTTGAATGTGTGTTTCTCATGGTGTTATAGGAAATGCATCTAATTTGATTGTTACACCTATATAGCACAATCTTGAGCAACCACCAAGTTGTTCTTCGCCTCATTTAGTGCTCTTCATACTAGTGGCGTCAACAGAGGCAAGAGGTGTAAAGATGTTCAGGGATTCTATGTGGTTCCTCAAAATTGCAGAAGAAATAATTGAGTATTAGAATTTTGTTATGATTTAGATAAATTATAGATTTAATTAAATTTAGATTATAGGCAAAGGGCATTATGAACATTTGTTGTTATATTCTAATCCTATATCACCTTTTAGTGACAAACTCCCAAACATAACATAGGTATTGCAGGCAAGGCATGAATACCAGACTGAGCCAAACAAATTATTACAAATTTATTTCACAACAGTTTGTTGGATTATTGTATCCCAAGTCTATAAGGAGTTAAATCAATCGCAAGACTATACCCCCAAAAAAAAGGAGTTAAATCAATCCCGGAATAAAACTAGTCCTCAATCCAAACATGGCATAAATATACTCCCTATCAACTTTATCGTAATGTGCTAAGGTTTAATAATGATAGTTATAATGAAGTCTAGTCGAAAATAGCTGGAACCACTTACGAAAATCTTTTTTAAACGGGAAGTAATTAAGTATCAAGCTAAATGGTCCATATTGTGAAGAGTAATTAGCATGTCCAGTCACTGGCACTGAGGGGGGGTTATTGGTTGGGACAAATTGGGGCCAAGTGGGAAAATTTCCCCTTTGGGATATTTTGAGTGGGGTAAAGTGGGATAAAGTGGGATAATGGGATAATTTGAGCCTTTGATTTGACAATTCATGTGGGATAATTGATAATGTGGCACCTTATTAAAATATAATTTTATCTATTAATTACTTCTAAAGTAACTTATCCAATTGGTTTAGTATATTATTTAGTATATTATTATAATATAAATATTATTTTACTTTATATTTAAATATAATATATTGTACTATACTTACAAATTACTATTATTAATTATTATATTGTATTATATTATATTATATTATATTATATTAGCATGCTATACTATATATAATAATTAATATAATATAATATCAATATATTTAATATAATATTTTAATAATATAATATTTAATATAATACATTATTTTATTTATACAAAAATATAATATGTTATACAATAATTACTAATTAACATTATATTAGTATGCTACATTATATAATAATTGATATAATATATGAATAATATATATAATATAATACTTTAATAATATATTATTTAATTTAATATATTATAATATAGTATCATAGGATATAATGTACTTTATAAAATATTATAATATTTTACTTTATTCAATGTAATATTTTTAAAATATTATATTAAAATTAAAATAATATATATATATATAATAAATACGTTATACTATAATTACTAATTAATATTATATAATAATATATTACATAATACTATTAATATATGTTATTAAAATATTAATATATGTTATTATATAATATTATTAATATATGTTATTACAATATTATATAATATTATAATAAATACGTTATACTATAATTACTATTATATAATATTATTAATATATGTTATTAAATTATGTTATTAAAATATTAATATATGTTATATTTTATATATCATGTCATATATTTATAATATAATTGCATGTATTAGTTAAGTAATACAAAAATATTTTAAAATTATCCCAATTGCCTTCAAAGTGGAACAACATTGTTCCAATATGGAGGATGGGGTAAATGTTTACTATTGGGACAAATTTTGTATATGAGTGGGGTAATTTTATCCCAAGTGGTGTAATTGTCTCACTAGTGTTCCAAAAAATCAATAACACAAAAAGATATTATCCTTGTTCCATTGTCTCAATGAATAACACTATGAAATAGAATCCCCAAAATTATCCAATTATCCCCCAAAATATCCCAACCAATAACCCCCCTAAGGCTATTCAAAAAACTAGAACATATTTAGCTTTTTCCCAACATATGAAATATTATGAGCTTAAGTGTTTAACAGGTCCGACAGAACTTGCAATCAGTTCAGAAAAAGATTGAATAATGGCAAGATGATATATTTGATATAGAAAAGAACAGGTAGTAACTATAAAGTTTTCAGCAAGCAAGAGCAAAAATAAAAGGATACAACTTTTCTTGGAAAGGAAAAGAGCGAATTAAATACATCATAAAAGTAAAAGATCTGGGACAATTTAAGTAAATTATGTAATCATTCTAAACAATTGAAGAGTCTAGGAAGAGAGAAAGAGACTAATAACCTCAATAAAACAAGAGCAGGAGTCATTATCGCCTGCTAACAATGCTTCAAGTTCTTTTTCCTTTGCATTTCTTCTCATTTCAAGCAATGCTTTCATAGATTCCTTCAGGAGGGGAAAGAAAGATTAATCAACTTCACAATTAAAAGAAGAGTGATGTCAATGAAGTTTATAGTAGTTCAACTCCAAAAGTACATAGGAAATCGCACCTATATACTTGAGATCACTTTGGTGGTCTCTAGGGACAGTCAACAAATATTTTGCTTTCAGCAAAAGGGTTGTCACAACACTATCTTTCTTACAAAAGAAGCAAGATATACGATGCATTGTGGAAGATATATTCCTAGTTTGATGTTCAAATATGAAAGTTCAAATTTAATTACAAGATCAAAAGTTCTTCCCTTCAGGATTAAAGGATCAAGGAATTTAATAAAGAATTAGCATATATGTAGGTAAAGTCATAAAATTGTATGATAGATCAAAAAAATAGCATATCTGTAATCATTATATTTTTTTATATTATTAGACATAATTGTTTAGACTTTTGGATGAATATGTATGTATGAATGCATAAAAACTCTCTTTATAAATATCATGATGCATGGTGTTGTGGCCTACTTTTTGGAAAAATATTTTCCTGAGTTTGTGCCATATCGTGTCCCGTATCCATGTACATTATACTTATGCAAGAATAAGGAACCAAAACTTTAATCGAATGTATCAAGAACCAGAGAGTCTCCACCGTAATGTTAGGTCCAGTTTATATTCCCAAGTTTAGCAGATGTTCAAAAGTTTGGACTCAACCCCAAGGCTAATGGTATTTCCATCAACGAGCTAAGACAGTTAACAAGAAACAGGTAGTATCACTTATATTTTCACAATACTTGTTCAAAAGCCACTCGCTTTAATTGAACATATAGAAGGCAATGATGATTGTCATGTCAAAAGAGACCAAAAAAACAAGCCACAAGACATAAGAGCTAATGTATTGCTTCAGCAAGCCCTCTGAAGTGCATTTTAGATGATATCAAGCAGAATCTCAAGTTTGGTATAGACAAAGGTAAAAGACTATTTTTCAACACTGATCTTCTAGAAAGAAGCCAAAAGGGGAAAGGGTCTCTAATGAAGATGCTAAATATGAGAGTAGTCAACCAGTTGTTGATGGGTTCAGTAATAGCAAGCGTGACAAACTAATTGCTTATGGTTATGGAGAATTGGAGGTATCAACAAAAAGGAACTCAAGACAGATATAAAGCAGAAGTTAGAAGCATTGCTACACTAGCTTCCACATATGATTTTAAAAAGAGCAACTCAAGGTACGGTTTCAGCACTACGGTGGTTCATCATGCAATATGTGATTTGTCAAGTACCAACATTTCAAATATTGTATGTGTTGTCCATTCGCTAACTTGCTCACTTAGATGTTATGATCTTTTTTGCTGTCACATGTTCATGTATTTCTAGTGCATATCCTTGCATCCTGGACTTGAACTCATAGAACAATAATCTCCATGCTAGTTTGCTTCTTTAGTCTTTCACTCATGTACATTTCATTCATATCCATGTGTGATAGTTCTGTTTTCACCTATGTGGGCCAATATTGACTTTGCTTCTATTATTGCCCAACTTGACTTATTAATTTTCTAATGTTATCGTCCCAACTGGGGCTTATTACTATTTTTATTGTTGTTTCCTGAAAGGCACTCTTCCTTTTCTTATTGTTATCACCCTAGACAGGCTCATTATTATTGTTGTGTTGCCAAAGAAGGCTTATTACTATGTCATAGGTACTGTTATATTTTTGCCCAACTAGGACTTGATTCTTTAGTCTTTATATCGACGTTGTCTTTTATGCAGGTAGGTTGTGAACGAGTCGATTTAAGTTATTTTTATGTGAAATGTATTTCATACATAGGTTAACTAGGGTTTTCAGCCAAGTGTCAGTTTCAAATGCATGGATGTGGGACGTGAAAAGAAAACAACAAAATGGCGATCATATGTTAAGTGTATTGAAATTGTAGGAAGCAAATTATACAGGAGAAAATAACCTCAAAAATCTCAAATGACCATATATTAACATTTTAAAATATGTTATAGCGGTCAAGACTAACTGACAATGATAACACTAAAATCTAAAAAGAACTAGGATGCTAAACAAATCATAAATAAAGAAGCTCGTCAGGAAGGAGTTGAGGTGAGAGACATGTACAAGACGAGATATTAGTCCTGGTAAACACGAACAACATTGATAGGAGATGGTCATTATTATATCTTCTTTTAAAAAATAATGATAAACATGAAATATAAAATTTAGACAAAAGTTCGGTGACGAAAGGAACAGACAATCAATTGCATTTTCCAAATTCATCCACATAGCCATAGTCCTTTTATGTTCAATGACATACTTGTGGATAAATCCACAAGCAACAAGCTTAAAGAGTGCAAACTAAGATTATAGAGATTCTTGGTTCTACAGAATGACGGCCAGAGAATGAACCCAAACATATTACAGAAGAACCGAAGAACAGAAAGCTATTAGCAAAAACTACAAATGCTAAGGAACAGTTAAATTATAGTAATGGAGGAACGACAAACATATTACTGAAGAACAGTTATATCATGGTAATGAAGGAACGATTAAAAAAAATTTATAGATCGCTGTACATCTTAATCTATTAGAAAAAAAAACTAAAACAATACACCAAGTGCCAGAACTGCATTTGCTTCATAATCCCTTCCGAATGGATTGAAAATATCAACGCACCAAACTTATCGCATATGTAACCAATAAATACTCCATTTAATCATACATTCATACTGTTGACTAAATGCTTAGATAACATAATATCAATATCTCAAACCAAAGCAGCATGGAAATAGTGCACCAGCAACCAGCAGCTTATCTAATTTTCTCCCCCAAATTAAAAAGCACATCAGAGTTAAACAAAGAAAATACATGCCTAGAAACAAGAGCGCACCGATTCCAGTTCTTCATCATTCTCTTCACGCGCAAGCTTCAGCATATCAATGTGCTCAAGAAGTTCTTGTTCAAACCCGTTTACCTCTTTCATCTTACTCATTAACCCTCCATGCTCACGACTAACGCTCCCAGCAAAGGTAGGATCATCCCAAAGGTCTGGTTTGTTTACGACCATTGTCAACTGCTCCAACCTACCAATCATCTTTTTCCACTGCAGCGCCAGATACTTAGTTAGACTAAATAGAAACCATACATATAAATGAGAACAATGCAACAAACATCATGAAGAAAAATTGCCTTGAAAATATAACAATCCAATGATATTTATTTAACTAATAATATTGAACATATGATCATACAATAATTCCAGAGTGATAGTTTATTAAAAGCGTGCATTATAGCATTCTGTGGAAAATAATAACAACGTGAGGTACAAAATCACGACACAACAAAATCACGACATAAAAATTACACTGTGCCCTTTGACCTCACCAACTTTATTGAAAAGATGTAAAAAGGGCACCAAATAGTCGTTTGGTTCAAAATTATCTCGACGTCTAAATGATCGATACACTCAACACCTGATCCGTCTGAAATTATAAATTAAAGGACCTGCATGGCTTTGAAGTTTTCTTCGTCTAAGTTTATTCAAGTCAAAAAGTTGCAAGCTTTAATTTGTAAATCTTCGACCACAGCTTTTCAAAACTCAGTTCACTGCTTTGTGATATGTTTGGGTACAGAAATGAAGTTAGCTCAAACTATACTTCCATGTCAGTGGCGCCGCTGAGGCGGTTCATCCGGCTCCGCAGAACAGGGCCCCCGACTTTGGGGGGCCCCCAAATCGCACAAAAAATGCATGGGTTAAAATGTAAACTTGCGTCATATGAGGAACAACGCGGAGAAGGTTCTGGCTGTCTTGAGGTCGAGGCCGACGACGAGGTTGATGATGGGGAGGTAGAGGGATCCGCCGCCGACGCGGCCTGCGCTCGAGAGAGAGGCTGCTATGAAGGTAGAGGGATCCGCCGCCGACGCGGCCTGCGCTCGAGAGAGAGGCTGCTATGAAGCAGAGGAGACTGGCTATTAGAGTTCTCAGGGTCTTCATGGTTAATTTGGTGTTTGAGGAGAAGTTTGGATTTTATATGAGGAAGATAGCGAGTGAGAAAATGAGGAATTTTGATGGGATTAATTTGGTTTTGGGAATAGGAATTAGTGAGTCGGTGAAGTTTTTATGAGGGCTTATTATGACCACAGATTTGATTGGGTAATGCCACCCCCTAGAAATAAGAGAGTGAATACTTAAATGGTCATATTAATATGTTATTTGATTAATAATTTTTTTATTACGATACTTTCATTTGTAGCAGTGCTATTACACTTTGAAGATAGTTCAACAACAACGTGTCGCTTCAAAGTAAGGTTCATGTTACTTTGAAATAAAATATGTATTAAACAAGTCCATTACTTTTTTTATCTCAACTATGATATGTTCTTTCGAAAGTCTCAAGAATCCATCCTAAATCTGTACAGCTGGGAATCCTTGTCCTATTATCAAAGTGCTGCTCTATCATGCTGGGACTAGGACTAAAATTAGGGTTTTTTCTTATTTTGGCCCCCAAAAATCATAAAGTCTCCAACAATCTGATATATTTTTAAATAAGTCCCCGCAAATATGTAAGTTCTCTTGCATTTTTTGCTGCCACTAATGTTGTTCCAGATTTTAGTGGTAAGTTCGTTCTCTTGTTATTTGTGGTTAATTCAATTTTATCAGAAAATGCTTAAACATTTTGGCTAAATAGCTTTTTAGTTGATGGGGTAGTATTAAATCATTTTTTTAACCTAGTATTATAAAATTAAATCAATGTCGGGTCGATTGAATTTGATTATGATTAACCTTTATCAAATTAAATCATTTTTTTTACTATCAATATTTTGCACTTAATATGTTTTTGCATAGAACTATTGTCATGTCTTAATGTTTATTTTAATTCTAGATATAAAAATTTCTTTCCATGGTTAGTACTAAGAATAAAAATAATTATTAATTTTTTCTGAAGATTGATTAAGAGGCCCCGATTGAAATTTAGAACAGGGCCCCCAAATTGTCAGCCACGCCTCTGTTCCATGTCTTTTGTAGTTTTAAAAAGAAAAATTCATTCTAACCGGATTTTTCTAATCACATTAAACTGAACATGCGCTAGGTAGCTAGTTTCCAAAAATTCAGCAAATCTAGGATAAAAATTCACCTGCAAGCGCTTCTTTATGAGCCGGATCGACTGAGCGACGGCAGCAGCGTGGCTTTTCCAATCGCCTTCGCCCTCCTCGAGGATCGCCCACCCTTTCGCCGCGATCGCATCAACGGTCATCCCATCGGAGGTCCTCGGATCGGAGAGAACGGCGGCGGCCGGTGGAGATGAAGAAGAAGAAGAAAGCCATCTAGGTTTCGAAGCGGAAGCTGAGGTCAAATAGCGAGGGCTAGTAAACCCTAGGTTAGGGTTTAGCGAGGGAAGGAGACCGGGCTTGGAGGTTGAGTTCTTTAGGAGGAAGAAAACGGTGATGGACTTTCGCATCGCGGTGTTTGATTCTGGTTGATGTATTTTTCGAGGGGATTTCTTTTGCTTGGGCGCATTTTAGGGCGTGGTTTGATGCGAGAAGTTAATTAATGGGAGATTGAAAATGCTAATTAGTCACTGGCACCTTCAATATTTTTACATTTGCCCCTCCAAGAAAAATTGCTGTCAGATCCCTTGATTATTTTACCTATGCATGCAATCTGGTCGCGGCCCATGAAGTCGGCCTAATAGCCCGGACGTGGTCAGTTCGGTTACTGTGGTTCATCATCACAGCCTGGTTTGATTTTATGGCGGTTTGCCTAGTTGAAAGATGAATGGTTTCGAATCATGTCTCGTCCTCAGCGTACCATGCAAGGAGATATTGATTGGATGCCCGATCTCTTTAGCTATCTGCTTCGATAACATACATGATCTATACATACGTCGGGTGTTCATACCACCACGTGAACTTACTTCGCAGGCTAAATTATAATAACCTCAGCTGTCAGGATGGTGACATATGTAGAAGCAGATCTACCCTAGTCAATTAGTATAAATACCCCACTCATCTCAAGTAAACACAGAGAACAATCTGAACTTTGGCTCGATATATCAAACCTTAGCTTATAATACTCTTCTTCTAAACTTTGACCTCGATTATACATTGATTTGACTCTACCATCAAATGCCTAACTTAGGCATTGGAGGGGGCTGGTAGGATAAGTTTACCCCAAATTAGAGGTGTGGGGTTTGATTCCCAAGCGCTTGAAAATGATGTTATTTTCCTATTTTTACCTGAACTCAAAGTTTTTATCAAATTAATCTTTAAACCCACCCACTTTTAAAGTTGGGTTTTTTTGTCTAAAGTTAAGGTTTTTTTTGTCTATAAATACAAAGCTTTACCCCCATTAATTTTTAACCTACACATTTCCAAAGTCATACTAGGAAATTTGGCCTAGAAACATAGAGCCTGCCCTCCATTTATTTTAAGCACACCCATTCTTCAAAGGTGTTTAATCTATAAACTCAATGTTTTATCTGAAATTATTTTTATGCCCGACCACTATCAAAAAGGGTTTTTTGACACTACACCCAAATATCTGTCCCCTTTTCTAATAACCAATCCACTATAATCTTTGAGCCCACCTACTTCTAAAGCATATTTGGCCTATTCACTCAAAATTTTTGTTCATTGTTTAATCTTAATCCGCCTACTTCCATCCGAATAGGGCATTTTGACTAAAACCCAAAAATTTGCCCTCATTTATATTCAAACCCACTCACTTCCAAAATCATTACTAGAGCTAAAACACACTATAAATTTATGTTTTAACCCGCTTTTAATTTTAGGGATTTTGTGTGCTGTGTAAGTGGCTAGAATATTGTAACTCGCTATAATTTTTTTCTAATTTATTAAATATGTGGTGTATTTTAAAATAAAGTATTTAAACTATTATTTTATTGTTTTTCCCCCATAAGAATGGTGCATCATCACAAATTTTAGATGGATTTTTTTTCCCTTTAAATTCAAGCTTTATCCAAATTTATTTTAAACTCAACCACTTCAAAAAGGAGTAAGTTTTCTATAAACCAACCTTAATTAATTTTTTAAACCCACTCGCTTCGAAAATCACTCTTAGAGCTAAACCAACCAAATTAATTTGACATCATCATTTGTGTTTCTTCTTTATTATTATCAATTCTCTTCTTTTCATCACCTCAAACCCATTCATCACTGCCACAAACTATCCTCATATTTTTTTCCATCATTACTACGTTCTTCTTTCATCAGTTCTTACTCTTTGTCCCTTTTACCAGTGCGTTCATCTCCCGCTTCTCTATCGTAAAGTATTATAGAATGACACATGTTAAAAAGAAAAAAGTAAAATTTTAAATACTAAGCCTAACATCAAATATGACATTTTATCTTATACGTATCTATTTACTAGCAAGAAATACACACATATTTCAACAAGAAAACTCTTGTTTAAACAAGAGTTTCTAAATACGAGTTGTATCAGATATTTATATCTGTCAAAGTTGAGCAGAGGTGCGAATCAGATGAGAGATGCATCTGATATGGGAAAAACTAAATAAAGTCACAAGTATAAATGCTATATGATATGAATGTTATTTAATAAAGGGTTTTCTCCATATTAGTCCCGCAAAGTTTTCATATCTTGATATTAGTCAATTTTTGTCCCCTTAATCTTTATATTTTGAAATTATTCCCCCAAATCCTTTTAGTATTTTGAAATTAGTCCCCCAAACATTTCATACCGGTGCAGACTAGATGGACTAGTTCTAAAACACCCATAAGATTTGGGGGGCTAATTTCAAATTATGAAGATGCATGGGAACTATTTGAGAATACTCAAAGAGTTGGGAGACTAATTCGAAAATATGGAGATTTGGGGGACCAATATAAAACATGAAAGATTTGGAGGACCAATATTGAAAAAAAATCTTGAATAAAATAAGAACAATTTTAATGAATGGGGGAGCTGATAGTAATTTTAATGATACTCAGGGACTAACATAGGTATACGTAGGGTTGGTATTTACTCCTCCATACAAATGGCAGAACTTAAGATTCACTATTCATGCTACGGTAAATACTATTGTAGTATTATTACTGTAGCAAACATGAAACGAGATGCTGCATTATTTTCTTAAAAATATTACTGTAACACACATAAAAAAACTCTAACATTTTTGGAAAAACTGTAACAGACGTGGAATGATGTAGCATTCTAAAAAAATTCAAAACTATTACTGTAGCATTTAAAAATCAAGATTATTCTACGTAGAAAAATATGACAAACTGTATGTCGTGCTTTGTATGGTGTTCACACCCGTGATTAATTAATTAGGGATCTCTCCCAGACCCGACCGTTCATTAAACGCTGGAACCAGAACGGAGCCGGTCTGAACCAAACCCGCAAGAGTTCTTCAAGTCCCCGCCTCTTTTCCCATCAACGATCTCAGATTCCTCAGATCCCGATCTATTTCAATCAACCTCAGACTCAACGATCTGCTAGGGTTTCATCAAGCTAATTCCGTCATTATCTGGACCCGAATGCGGTGATTGTAGAAGAAATCCTCGAAGATGCAGCGGATTCCTACGACGATCGAGGAGCAGCTGATCTTGAAGTCGATCAAAGAGGAATGCCCTTGGGATAATCTCCCCAAGCGCCTCCAATCCACGCTCTCCAACAAGGACGAGTGGCATCGGAGGTAAATTTCCCGAAAAAGATCCTGCTTTGCAAATCACGCAGAAATTTATTTTTTTTCTTCATGAAATTCAGTAAAAGTTGCTCATTTGATGCCTCAAGGAAAAAATTTGATCCGTGAAAGTGCAGTGAGTAGCAAATCTACTTGAAAATGGGATCAACTTTACCTGTTGCGCTTGGGTTTATTCAGATTCAATTGTGATTACATATGAATAAGCTTATTTTCGATCCAGTTCGTAAATTGGCGACAAAGAAGTGAAAGAAGAGAACTAATAAGGAATTTCTTCAGCAAAATCCTTTGTTGAATTTAGGACGCAGCTATTTAGTCTTTCTTGGACTGTTAAATTTGGTGTTTCAAATATGATTATGTTTTTCAGTTAGAGCAATTTTCTTTCTATTCTCTTAAGAAGTTAAAAATGTTCCATTGTTATAACCTTTAGTGTTATGTCTTCAAACATATATATGTTTTCCTCTACCCACATGCTTATCAACGACATCTGCATAATCATTGAAATGGCCCTAGAAATGCTCTACAAGTGTATTATGATTGTAAATACAGGTATGATGAAGCCGACTTTACAACTTATCCTTTAAGTAGATTATCACTTGCCTATACATGTACTATGACCAAAGCATACCGTGAGCGTGAAGCCAATAATACTGGCCCCATCACATACACATGATGTAGATTTTTCTACCCATTAGGTAGCCTCATAAAATTTATTGAATCCATCGCCTTATCAGTATTTACTCGGCTTGGAAATTGACACCAGCTCAGAGGCTTGATAGTAAGTTGACAATTGGTCGTAATATTTGGTCAATATTTCCATCTGATCTCATACTCCACATCTGATGGTGTTTGATGGAGACGGCCTGAGTTTATTTATGATATGTATCTCGTGGCAGCTTGGACCAGCCGCCAGCCGCCACTACTCACATATCTTTCTTAGTTAGATGTGCAAAGAATCGCTATTGCATGTATTGGTGTTTTCATTCAGGGATGCTGTTCATATCATGGTTCAAAGTAACTGAATATATTCAAGCATATAAAGTAACTGAATATATTCAAGCATATCATGTGATTCCAGATTATTGAGCAGCAACATGCTTGCATCAGCTATTAAATACCATTCAGATTTCAAAACTATATTTATAGCATATTTTATGCACTCAATTTCATGCGTTCTCTTTTTTTTTATCTGGTAACACATTCATGTCATATAAGTTTTGCATGTGCTCTATAAGCCCATTGTACCTTTAATTTTGGTTGCTTGTAGTTGAGGCTTGGCACTTCAATAAGTGGTACACATAATTAACTATATAATTGAATCTTAAGAATTCAATAGGCGGCTTGTATTGACATTAACCTTTATCTTGTATTTCCTGCGGTTGCTATTAGTTGAGCTGCGGGTACTTCTTACCCTCTATTTTTGTCCCTTTAGCGGGCCTAGTATTTCTGATGATTGTGATGTCCTCTTTAGTTCTTCATGTCCATAAGTGCTATGCAGAACTAACTTTGTAATCGAATCTAAAGACTTCAATAAGTGGCTTATAGAATTAACCTTCTATCATTAGTCTCTATTTCTTAATTCTAGAGTATTTCTTTGATCATCCAACATCTTTCCTATGTTCGTGCCCTTTAAAGTTCAGTTACATTATTTTTTTGTGTTATTTGAGTGCAGGGTCATAGATCACTGCATCAGAAAAAGATTACAATGGAATATTTGTTTTGCACGTAAAGTGTGTAAAGAAGGAGAATATTATGAAGATATGATGCGCTATTTGCGTAAGAATCTTGCTGTGCGTATTAGAACCTACCTACTCTTAATTTGCTCATATTACGCTCATCTTCACACTGATATGGTTTTGATTCTTTGTCGTTGTTTGCATGATGAAACTGGTTGAAGTTGCAAACTTTCATGTGTAAATTCTAGTAATGATTTTATGCTTGATGTGACATTTTTACAGCTATTTCCATATCACCTTGCGGAATATGTTTGCCGAGTAATGAGATTATCTCCCTTCAGATATTACTGTGATATGATCTTTGAAGTTATGAAAAATGGTAATTACTCATCCCCTTACGGTCAGGATATATATCTCTGTCACTTCCCTCTAGCTGATTTTTTTTATTGCCTTTCATCTCCCCTTCTCAAGCTCTTTTTGATAACCCTTCTCTTTGTTGTTAAATTTACCTCTCTGGTTTATTGTTTTTGTCGGTATTTATCTCTCTTTTAGGGTTTTTTTTTTTACAATCTTTGTTTGGGACTACTATTTTGGTTTGTGATCATAAATTCAGGTGATAAAAATATATGGATTTTATCTAATGATTTTAATGCATGATATTAGTTTGAGATAATTATTTCCTTTTATTACATGCATAAAGGGTTAAAGTTCTACACCATGACAACAACATCAACAAAACATTTATTCTAGAACTTACATGAATCATTTCATTTCATTCTATTCTAGTGTGGGTCATCTCATCAGTCAGGTAATCATCATCATATCCTTCTTCATTGCTCAGTCCAAGTACATTTTTGCATATCTCTAATACATCTTGATCCATAAGTTGTAATCCTATAGTCTCCTAAGTAATGCTCTTATTGGCCTCACCTGCTACCAGACCATGTATATCTATCTTTACTCATTGTCGTTTCATGTTCATACCAAAAATGTATTTGTTTCTGCTGATTAAGTAATTAATCTTCTTTTTCTTTCTTCTTATTTGGGGAAACTTCTCTTCCATATTGCCCACTCAAACAAATAATTTTTTTTAATGTAATATTATATGAGCAATGGAAACTAGTTCTAAGAAAATCCATTGTTTATTTGGGGATTAGCACTGAGTTTGATTATGTAGTTTTAAATGATCTACCAGTTTTTTGGGTAGTATGTCCTCAAAAGAAATTGATCTCCATTTCAACTTTTTAACTGAACTGATTTGAAGTAGATCAATTTTGTTAAAAACTAACTTTCACTTATTAAGTCTGTTCTTTGTTGTGTTTCCTGTAAAATATTTATCTTTTTTGCATAACATTATTGCTCTTTCTTTGAAGCACTACTTTGTTATCATATTTTAATTTGGTTCTGTTCAATTCTGATGTTGTTGGGAAATCCTTGCAGAGCAACCATATGATAGCATCCCAAATTTTAGTGCTGCCGATGCCTTAAGGCTTACAGGGATTGGACGAAATGAGTTTATTGATATAATGAACAAGTGTAGATCAAAGGTATCCTTCTTCTTGTTATTGCAACATATTTCAGGAGTAACCAGATCATCTTACGACTCATGTTTTTACATTTTTAGCCGTATCTCTCTGTTGAAGCAAGTTTTGTTTTATTCGAGTTAGTTATCACTTCAGTGACTTTGTTGTATGAGTCTCTTAAATGACCCAACCATTACACCAAAACTCCGGAATTGTGGTGAGGATTGAGTGTTATAATTTTATATTCTAGCATGCGCCCTCAGGTTGAGAACGCTTTTAGGGTAGAAACTTGGACTCACACAGTGGTATCAGTTTTTTTTAAAATCCTCTTATTCGTGGCCAGCAAGATTTTAAGGTTTCTCTAATACCATCTTAATTAATCCAACCATTACACCGGAACTTTGAAGTTGTGTGAGGATTGAGGGTTATAATTTTATATTCTAACAGAGTCGGTGTCATTGACACATGTCTACTGATATTTCTCTGCATATTGAGGCAGCGTTAAACATGATTTATGGGCATATACATGCATTTAGATTTTCATAAGGTTGATGTCTGCATATTGTAACTGTTATGAAGATCAAGTTTTAACATCAGATTAAACTCCTTGAGTTAAATCTAGTTACCATGTCATTTGGTTGATTATTTTGTTGTCCTGCGACTTGTTGTTTCAAGTTTACTAGTATAAGAAGTAGGAAGCAAAATATGATTACTGTTGTTGTTTTCAAGTCTACTAGATGTCTTTCTACTTTATGAACGGTAGAAAATGAAATTTATTTCTGAACAAGCTCCAAGCCCTTTAGGTTAAAAGTCACTTAAACTAACTCCATCTTCTTCCTTGACCGTAACTAGAGATTAGAGAATAATCTACAAGGTTTAAGTAGCACGCAGAGGACACTATTGGTTCCTAAGGATCCTCAAGGTGATTGTTATATCATCACTATATGGAATGCTTGTTTGTTATGAAGAAATTTAGCAGTTCCATGTAAAGAAATATTGTTAGCTTTTGTTTTCTCCTTGTTGTGTTAGCTTTTGTTTTCTCCTTGTTGTGTTAGCTTTTGTTTTACTCTGCAGTTGTTTTATTGCTTTAAGTGACTGCTTAAGAGTCTTTCACGTAAACAAAGCTTGCCTAGTTGCCTAGGCAGTTAAGTGCTGCGAGTGGCAGCTGTAGGAGCTGAAGTAGGTTTACACAAGCACTTTCTAGTCTGTAGAGAAAATGTGCTGTGTAGGTTCTTCTAGGTCTAACTGGTAATTCTTGCAGTGTCTCTTTTCCAATCCACCCCATCTTTATTTGGTTTGTATCTTGATGTTTGTTTCCTTGGTCGTATAACACTATTTGGTTTATGTTTCCTTCTCTAATTTCCTTTTATAACACCATGTGTTTTCCACATCAGCCACATATGTGTTTTCTGCAGTCTATCCCCTAAATATTCAATGTGTACATGTGCATCATTCAATGTGTTTTCAACGTGTTATAATATTTTTCTAAAGCATATAGTATGTAGTGACTATACAAGTGATTACTTAACTCCATTTATGGAGTATTGTATAGGAATAAAGGTGATGATTTTTTTATAAAATTTTTTCAAGCTAACTGAAAAAATTACTCATTAATTGTTGTTTGAGTGGTTGCTTTCGGATACAGATCTACATGTGCATCATGCGTGATTCATGCTCCTGTAAAGTTTATAGGGAGAATTTATGTAAATTGACCATTCTTGAAAGTTATAGCATGATATCGTTTTAGTTTTGGCATGTTATTTTAGTTTGATCATCACTGTAGTAATAATGTTCCTGTTGAACTTCCATACCCCCAAATGCTGCTGTACCTTTTCCAACTTCTACACTACATGATTCTATAATTTCAAGTGAATACATTTGAACTTGATATTCTAGTTGAAAATCTTGATACTTCTTACTGTTACTGGTTTGGAAATATCCAGAAAATAATGTGGAAGCTGAACAAGTCAATTGCGAAGGAATTGTTGCCCACACAACCTGCTGACTTTACAATTGAACCATGGTGGGGAGTTTGCCTTGTTAACTTTACATTGGAAGAGTTTAAGGTATGGTTTTCTGTATTTTTCAGTTATCTATACTGTTATCTCAAAGAAGCCCCCATTTTGGTTTGTTTGAGCTTCATTTTGGAATTCCAAAAATACCCTCATATTCTAAACAAGGAAACGAAAAAAATCAACAAAAATGTCTTCAAACTTGGAAAAGTTTCAAAAAAAGAAAAGGAAAAAATAACAAACTGTCCATTCCCTTTGACAATTCGACTAAAGCACTCTTCAAGGTTCTGTGTCAGGAAACAGAATGACTTGATATTCTGAAATTTGAGATTTTCAAATTGTACCCTCTGAAATTTCAGAAATCTGACCAGGAAATTGTACATTCACACGCTTGGCTGAAATTTTTGTTATTGGCTTACCACGTCAAATTGACAATCTAATTGAGTCGCATCTTTTTCTCCATTATCTTTAGTACCTTCCGGAGAAATGTATTTGTGTCCCCACTGACAATTTGTTCAATTGAATGACGAGGCTTTTAAAATGCTTAATTGAAAAGCTTGGGAAAATTTCTGATGTAGTCTGAATTGAAATTTTGGAATTAGGTGCACTTTCATCCTTGTCGTATATCATACTTTATGTAACTGATGCTAAACATCCTCCCTTATTGCAGAAACTGACAGAAGAAGAAATGGCAACGATAGACAAAATTTGCAAGGAAGAAGCAAATGCATTTGTTCTCTTTGATCCTAATGTTGTAAGAGGCCTCCACCGCAGGGGGCTAGTATACTTTGATGTCCCTGTGTACCCTGATGACCGTTTCAAAGGTAAGTCATCAACTTGAACACAATTGTAATTGATTCTTGATATATCTATCACCCGTATCTTTTTACACATTTTGCATTCTCACGTGATGTGAGGTGTGTTGCCAGCTCAACAATCTTTCAATCTCCTTACTGCTTTTAACCTTGATGGTTGTACCTCGACCTCGTTCTTGTGCTTTCGACCTTGAGGGTCAAACTATCATCTTTTATTCCTTCAATTTCGACCTCTAGAGTCGTGAAGACCTGTATCAAAGTTCATTTTTCCAGAGAAATAAATTCATTGTTCTTTGGTTACATTGTTGGAGGAAATATACAATTCTCTGGTATCTTTATGTTTCCATTAGGTTACTCTTCCTTGAGCATGCTGTGTTTGTGTCATTGATATATTCTAATTCAGTTTCCAGGCTTGAAGGGTTTGTCTCCAACAGGGAGCAGTCTTATGAAGATCCTATTGAAGAGTAAGTACCTGGGAGTTTGAACAGAGATTTCTGGATAATACATTAACTAGATTTGCTAGACTTATTTTTGATATTGTGGATCTTTTCCAGGTTATTGTATGCCGTATTTGTTGTCTCAAGTGAAAATTCCACTGTTGCCGAATTGGCTGCAACATTACAGGCAGACCTTTCTCAGCTGCAGGCTGCTGCATCATTTTCTTGCCGATTGGGCTGGGCTGTGAAGCTTATTGATCCAGAATCTATTCTCCAGGATTCTGCCATTCCTGGATCTCCTAGTAGTATACTCAGTGATGATGAAGATGTGTCCAATGCTAGTACCAGCTCTTCTCAACAAGTTCATAGTAAAAAGAAAGACGATAGACTACAATCTGGGATTGCTCATGTTGCTTTTGTGGTGGATGCTAACATAACATCCTATCTGATGATGGGTTCCCTTTCTCCCGGTTCGATTGTTTTCTCTAGAGAACTTCTATTTTATTTTTCTCCTATCTTAAAAAAATTGTTCCCTAAAGTTCCATCTTCTTGTATTGTGCAGTATCTACTGTACTTGTAAACAGTTAACTGGCTAATTTGTAAACTATACCTGTAACAAGTGGCAGGAAAACAAAGACATGATCCATCTTCCCTGTAGTTATGTGAGGCAACTTAGCCTTGGATTTCATGTTGGATATAGAAAACATGAAGTGAAAAGTTCCCGGGCATTTCACATATAAGAGAGGATTTTGCTATTGGAACAATTACACTTTGGCTTGTAGGTTATTTTGAACTATGTTAGTACCATCACCACCATCACCGTCACCATTATCACCGCTACCCCCTATTGTTATATGCCTATGAAAGATATTTGACACAAAAGAGTGATTTCTAGGATGGTGATTCTCACTTTAATTAGTTATATTTAGCAAGGTTTTGATTTGAACTAGAAAATTGTTTATAATAAGATGATAAATGCTTTAGAATGCATTAGTAGTCCAATAATAAGGTTATGGGGAGTACAAATGTGAATATATTCCCAAAACACAGATCTAGACTTCTTAAATCTGGAAAGCTCTTAAATTTTAATCGCTGTGGGCCTCATTAACCAAGCTTGGAGTTCATCAAACACTATGCTATTCAGATAACTTTTTGAGATATTAAAACTTGGTTTTTCTTTCTCAAAACTACATGCTGACAAACTGACACTTAAACTGCTTTGCGAATGTTTAAAACCATGTACAACTATTTTTCTATCTGTTGTAAACCTGATGCAAGTCTCCTGTTGGTACCAAATTCCTACCCTAGGTGGCTTTATACAAGTAAGTAATCTCTGATAGAATCTGGGTGAGGCAGTAGGTTTACCTGTATTCTTCTCATGCAATTTAAGTTCATGCTATAGAGCAGGGCTTCCAAGATCCTCTTGGCCTTGGAAAAGTCCAACTGAAGGGCAGGTGATATTATTTTAAGGAATCACTCTTCATAAGAGAACTACTATGTGTTTGCCTTGATATCTGATAATAATAGGTGGGTTGTGTGATTAGTACTACTCAACCTTCTATGATAAAGCTTTTGAATTCATGATCAAGCTTTGGTATCTCTAATTTGTATGAATCTCTTACAGGTTTAAAATCACATGCTGTAACGCTATCTCCAATAGTCTAATTTGCGTGAATTTCTTACAGGTTTAAAAGCACATGCTGTAACACTATATGAAGCAGGAAAACTTGGTGATTCAAGTATTGCAGAACTTTGCAAGGATCTGAGTACGCTAGAAGGGAAGAAATTTGAGGGTGAATTACAAGAATTTGCAAACCATGCATATAGTCTTCGATGTATCTTAGAGTGCTTGCAGTCGGGCGGGGTTGCTACTAATGAAATAGTTGATAAAGTTAGTGATCAAATTGAAAGACAAGGTTCATTAGATGGTGTTACTTCCCTTGTAGCTGGTACCAGTATATCTGAGGAATTCAGTGGTTCAGAAGAAAGTAAAGCACAGGCTTCCTTCAATGATGAACTCTCTGATAATGTCAATGCTGAACTTCCTGAAATTAATTCATTTCCAGACGAACAAGATGGCGGCACAAGCACAGCTCTTAAGTCATTTTCAACTATTACCGATGAAAATAGTATTCTTGTACGAAATGACGATCTTATTCTTGAGCAAAGTACCACGCCTTTAGATGGTCCAACCGGTGAAAGAGGCATTTTAAAGAAAAGAAGGAAGTATCGTGTAGATATTCTTCGTTGTGAAAGCTTAGCTGCTCTAGCACCAGCCACACTAGAGCGGCTATTCCTCAGGGATTATGATATCATTGTCTCTATGGTTCCCCTTCCTTCTTCATCTGTCATACCGGGCCCAAAAGGTCCCATACATTTCGGTCCACCTTCCTATTCGTCAATGACGCCATGGATGAAGCTAGTTTTATATATGGCAACTGGTAACGGACCGCTATCAGTTGTTTTAATGAAAGGACAGTGTTTGCGGTTGCTTCCTGCACCCTTAATGGGTTGTGAAAAGGCACTGATATGGTCTTGGGATGGTTCTGTAGTAGGAGGACTAGGAGGCAAGTTTGAAGGGAATTTAGTAAACGGAAGTGTGCTCTTACACTGTTTAAATTCAATTCTCAAGTACTCAGCTGTGCTTGTACAGCCTCTGAGTAGATATGATCTCAATGAATCTGGAGGGATTGCTACCATGGATATTGCATTACCTCTTAAGAATTTTGATGGTTCAGATGCTGATTTAGGAGAAGAGATGGGCCTATGCCTGGAAAAATGCGCAAATTTGGAATCATTACTGAAGGATCTTTCAAGCAGAAATGAATTATCCACAGTAGGTTATATCCGCATTTTAAGGCTCCAGAAAGAAAGGGAGTCTGACCTGTTTCTTCCTGATAATGAGAAGTATGAATGGGTTCCATTAAGTGTAGAATTTGGGATCCCACTCTTCAGTCCAAACTTATGTAAGAGGATTTGTGAAAGAGTTGTTGCATCACAGCTACTTCAGACAGATTTTCTTACTGAGCATCATGATGCTATGCAAAGTCTCAGAAGAAAGTTGCATGAGATCTGCTCTGAATACCAAGCAACAGGTCCTACTGCAAAGCTTTTTTACCAGAGAGAACAGGCAAAAGAGTCACCTCGTCATTTGATTAATTATGCTAGTGGAAGGTGGAGTCCCCTTCTGGACCCATCCACACCAATATCTGGAGGCTCTAATGAACACCAGAGGCTCAAGCTTGCTAATCGGCAGCGATCCCGAACTGAAGTTCTAAGTTTCGATGGAAATATTCTCAGGTACATTTTCTCTTGCTCTTGTTCTTTTTATTCCACATTCTAGTTTTACCAGTACTTTTAGCATGAAACGTCCTATAAATGGTAATGTTTTTAAGTTGTTCATTACCAAATATGAACACTGCAGAATTCATCTTTAATCAGTTATTTGTTGTTTAGGTATCTTTTAATTGGTTGGATATGTTCTGGACTTAGATTTGGTTCATCATTTTAAGTGGTTGATTTTGTTTTTATATTCTATATTGGGTGGGTAGTTGAGAATTAATTAGTTTTCTTCATTTTGTTAGAGTTAATAAAAAAATGATTTGTTAATCTCTTAAAAATGAGAAGGAATGCTTTGTTTAAGATAAAGGAAAATTGATATACTTAAGTTATCAGTTATCTGATTGAGCGTGATTACCTACATCTGTGGTTCCATTCTTATCCTTGTGAGGATGTGATGCCGTATTTTTATATTTGGGAAAATTACCTCCACCCCCCTTGAGTTTGAAAAATGTGTTTTCTCCCTCCAAGAAACTTTTGTCATGCTTCTACCTCCAATGTTACATTAAACGCTGGGCGTTTCTAGGCGTCGGACTTGGCGCCCAACGCTTAGTCGCCTAGGCGGGCGTCTAAGCGGTTTCTTGGCGTTTTTTTTTCTTTCTTCATTTAAGTGGTGGTTGATGAGGTTTTGCTGAAGGTCGGAGGAGGTAGTGAAGGTGTTCATATTTGAAGGTTAATGGAGTTTGGAGGACGTGTAGGCTACGACACATAAAATCACAATCAATGCCTACAGGGTGCAATCCACGTAAGCAAATAATGCTCACCTAAACCCTCGTAATATCTAGGTGGGTAGGCTAAATACCGTCTAGGCGCTAGGCGCTAGTTAGGCGACCTAGGTACCGCCTAGATCTAGGCGTACGCCTAAGCGGACTAGGCGGAGGTTTTTTAAAACAGTGGACTACCTCCCTCGACACAAAAAACTCGTGCATTTTGGAGTTCCTAAAACTACCCTAGTCTTATCCCTCTTTTTTCTCTCATCTCTCACATAAACCCACCATGAACCCATTCCCTCCTAATCTCTGCCTCATTTTCGTCTCCTCTTCGCCTCCCACATCTGCTATCTCCCTCTCGGTCCCATCAGTGTGGGTTAGTAGTGAGGCCCGAAGAGAAACGGAGGTGAAGGGAAGTGTGGACGAGGAGAGGTCGGGCAAGGCGGCAGCAGCAATATAGAAGAGATCAATGCCGAGATGTGCGAGGTGGTGGTTAAGGAAGGAGGAGAAAGAAAAAGAAGGTAAAAGGTAATAAGAAATGAACAAAGATAATTGGAAAATAAATAGATGTAATAAGAATTGAACAAAGGTACTAACAAACAAAAAAAAGTAACAAAGAACTGAGCAAATGTTACTAAAATCAGATAAAGATATCAATAGACAAAGAAAGGCAATAAAAATATAATAAAGATGTATCAATAACTAAATAACATATATTGAAAGAGTCACGAAAAAGTATCACAAAACAAAGGTAATGAAAAAAAAAGATATCAAGAAATAAATAAAAGTATCAAGAATTGACTAAATGTAACAAAAATCACAAAAACTATCATTAATCAATAAAAAGATAACGAGAAATAAACAAAGATAAAAGTAATAAAAATAATAATAAAGGTAACAAAACCCTCTTGTCTTCCTTTCTCATCCACCACCTCTCCTCTACCGATCTCTCCTTCACCACCTTGCCACTTTGCTATGCCTGCCGCCTCGCTGTTGAACTCTCACCAACTTACCGCCACTAACCTTCTTCTCCCTCCTTTCGGGCCTCACCACCACCCCATCCTCACGAAGCCCAGGGGAGGCAGCAGAAGTGGTGAGATGTGGTGGAGGGAGGCGGTGGTTAAGGGTGGAAGGATTCATGGGTTCCTGGGAGAGATGAGAAAATGAAGAGTGGAGAAGACAGAAGACAAGGATAATCTGGGAATTACATGTGGAGGGGGGAAGCATATGGTCCTTGGGCTCCAGTCTTAGGTGGTTATTTCATCAAGCTTCATGAAAAGTTCTATTAAAAAAGTTCTATTAAAACTTGTTCATTTGTTTGGGGGGAAAAACAAGCCAACAAACCAGCAAAAACTACCACCAGCTAGTTTTCACAACTATTTGTCTGTGCCCATTACACCAAATGATAATGCGATTATAACGTGAAGTTGACTGTCAACAGGTCGTATGCACTCACCCCTGTGTATGAAGCTGCAACAAGACCTTTTGAGGATTTACCTTCATCAACTACAACCAAACCTGTCTCAGATGATGCAGATAGCAAAGAAGTAGTCCTGCCAGGGATTAATCTGCTATTTGATGGATCACAGTTGCTTCCATTTGATATAAGTGCTTGCTTGCAGGCTCGTCAACCCATTTTATTGATAGCGGAGGCATCGGCTGCATCTTCAACATTGCAGAGTAAATAAAGCTTTGTGATAAAGACATTTGTTTATTCTATGAGATGGTTAGACTGATACTTGCGGATATTCTTTGCTGTGTGGTTGGCATCATGTTATGCTGGTTTCTTGTTAGCATCTTTGGTAGATCCTGGAAGAATTTTTGTTATGAAAGTTTCCATGATCTATTCTCAAGGATTTGCTAAATACCAAGCAGCTGCAGGATTATTATTGGGAATTATCGTTATTTGCCCAAAGATCTTGCAAAGTTGAAAATTTTCTTTCAACCTTAGTTTAAAACAGTATCAAACATGTGATAATCTGCAGAATATTGTTGGGGAATAATGGATAGTCGGTAGTGGATATATGTATGAGTTGATTGGACTTGTATATGCTGTATATGTCTTTGTCTTCAGATGCATGCAAAAAAGCGTGTGCTTGGCTTGTGCATTATGTTTATTTATTTGAGAGAGAGCAGCAAGTTATCACATGGTCATCATCATCTCCCAAACAATTTTCCATCAGAATTGGTAAATTCCATTCACCTAGACCAAAAGTCGAGAAAGCTCCATAAGAGAATTGAGCAAGTTTACCTAGGAATGGCTGACAAGCTGTTTTCAAGCTTCTTGATTGATTCATCTAAAGAGGCAAACCTTTTGATTGGTCCGAGCTCTTGGTCAAGGCAATGATGAGTCATCATTTGTCACTAATTAAAACCTTTTTGTTTTAGATAGCAGGGGATTTTTTTTAATATGCAATATAAACTCATGCGCGCATAGTTTTCCAATTCAGCTGGAGTCAAGAAGAGTAATCTAAAGCGATAAGTTGGCATATGAAATTGCATTCACATTTGAAGCACTATCTAAGCCTTTGGGAAAAAGAAATGATGGTCCTTGGGATGGTAATAAATTGAAGCTGCTAAGTAGTGTTACTGCTAGATATTTTTTGTTCAAACTTTGGATTTTCTGCTGAGAAATTTGGTGTGTCGTTCATAATTTTCTTCGAGGTTACTTGCCTGGTATTAATAAAAAACATTTTCCTTGTGATATATGTCATAGTTTTCCTTGAACTGTTGCGAAGTCTTTCCATGTGGAAACCATATTTCCCATTTGTATTTTTATAAAGCTGTCTAGCTATGACTTGCTAATAGTAAGGTGAGTAGTGAGATGTGTTGAAGTCAGAAGCAGCATATAGCACTCAAATTTTGGAGGCAGGAGTTCACTGGGAACTGCATAGTGTGGTTGTAAAATCGTCCTACTTTGGAGTAAGTTTGATAACTAGATTATGCTACTATTTGAGGTGTTTTGCTAGCTAATAAGAATTTGCACTTTCAACTTTACCAAAGGATAGTAAGATGGATGTTTCACACTGAAAAATCGTAGAGTTCTGTAAGTTCTAAAACAATATATGGTTGACAGGATATTATCCTATGGGACTTCATACCAACAATCATGGCATTGTCAGAGGGTTTGATAATGTTGATGCATGAGGCTGTGGGAAGCATCACATGCCTGCAATGTTTTTGCCAAACATTCTGAATGGAAGTTTTACCCCACGTGGAAATCGATCCTGGATTATTACCGTTTGTATTTTATCTGAGCCCTGTCAATGTACCAAGCCAAGTACATGCTTGGTCATCATTGGGCTTGGTTTGACAATTGTTCACAGCCTATAGATTGGGCCTGGCCTGGCAAAATGAACTCATGTAAACCAGTCTCCAAACCCTTCCTGATATATGCTTGCACACAGAATATCTACTTGTAATAGGGTTCCAACTGATTGCAAGAGGTTCTACTAATGCTTCTTGTAATATACATGGCTTGTTGAATTGGGAATGACTGTGCAATCATGAATTTTTTGGAGATACTGTGGCATAAAAGTCTTACTGTGATATTGATGCTAAGATTAAAGTTTGCGTCACCTTGGCTAGCAGTACCGCGTGGACATTGGCTTATCTAAATTCTTATTGTTGATTGAAATTTTTCTAATTTCTCACAGCAAGGTAGGTACATGTCACATGATTGTTTGATGGACTTAATTGATTTTAGAGAAAGAAGAGTTACTAGAGGTTATCCTTATGTCTATGTTTTGTGTGAATCTCTGTATGATGTCACCTTAGCCACTGTTACAAGAACTTTTATCCACCGAAGTCTAGCAGTAATATGCATTTGTCTGCACGACCATCCTATAAAAGCTAATCAAATCATAGATTGAACTTAATTCTCTTTGGTTATCAACTGAAATCAATCATAGCTTAAACAGATAAGCTCGGGTGAACTGGCTCCTAACAATCTTCATAGTAAACCTTGTGTTTCCTGGGCTAGAACTTGTTGCTTTGTTATATATGTTAGGGGTCAAATTTTGTATTTCTAAATGTGTCTATTTGAAGGGGCTACAAGGTTTTTTTGCCACCCAAAAACTATGTGTAGTCTTTGCCATCTTGTGATTATCTACTTTGCACATTACCAAAGGTGATGATATGGGATCTTCCACCTTTCTGCATTCTTCATGGCTACCTACATCTTATCACTATTTTCCTGTCAGTTTCCATTGTTTTGACTTAAATAGAACTAAATGTCCATTGTTTTCACGTAAATGGAACTTTCATTTACTACTGTGCAGTTCGTTTAATGTAATAATTTGGAGGTGCTTATAGTTTATAATATGCAAGAAGAAAGAAATATGACAATTGAATGACATTATATAACATTAACTGTTTAGTTTGGTGCCACAAATCTTAAGCCACATAGAATAACTTGAGAGTTCAAGCCCTCCGATGTATGAACCCATTAGTCATAACTTGTTTGCTTTTACGTAACAGGATGCTGATGAAATTGCTTTGAATTTTGAGTGATTAAATGAGAAAAAACGACACACTGCTACGGACATACAGGTCCCAATTATACCACTTCAAATAAGCGATCTGATGTGCTCAGCTTCAGTATGGTTGCTGCTGGCTTAAGGGATCTTTCACTTGAGGACAAATACCTGCAGAATACTTTTAAAAATTGCCTACCCTGACAAAATTCTAATCTGATGTTCTTGCATTATTTTGAATCCTCAACATTATCTTGGAATATAGTTGTCTTTTAACTTAGGTAGCATGCTGTAAGTTAAATCCCGCGGGTTTGCTATGTCAGTCTTTTCATAGAATTTGCAGTTTGTTTCTTCTACTAGGCCTTTGATCTTTTTTTTGCCACTAGAGTGCTTAGATTAGCTGATCATAACGTTGGAGCATCAACTTTGCTTACACAAAACTGCACGGTGCTGTTTGCGATTTTTAACTATCCATGTTTTTCTTCGCATTTTCATGCTTATAAATGAAAATCTGCTACTTTTGTTTGAGACCCTCGACTCTTTTGTTTTTTATGCAATGTTTCGGTTCCTGTTTTGATCATCTTATTTACGTCTCAACATTACAGGTCTGTTTGCTTGGCAGTTGCTCATCATCATCGTGCTGTTAGGTGCGCATATAAAGGAGACATCCGTCGTGAGGCTTGATCAAATTTTCCTTGGTTAAAATGTTAATCTATGTATTCTGTAGGCATTATCTACTCTTTGTGGTATTTCCCCTCCCATAGCCCATTCCGACATGAAATTTCTGACAGAGCTGGATAATACGCAACAAAGAATACTTACTGAGATTTTATGCCTCTGCCGAAACCTAGAAACTGCTGTAGAATTATTCTTTTTATCGATAATCAAGTAGTTTGTAAGCATACATCAAGGCTCCAAGGAGAGAGGAGATATTATGCAAAAAAACAAAAAAAAAAGTTGTTTGGTTTGTATTTACCACGAGGGGAACATTACAGGATGCAATGATGCAATTTACTCCCTGAATGAATTTGATGTTTACTGCAATTGATTATAGCCAAAAGACAGATTACAAAGTTATTTTCCGTCTACAGGTTCGTATTAGAATGTGTTTTTCCAAATATTTAATACAGGGCTCTCATATTTTGAGTATATATGTGAATACCAACACAAAATTGTAAGTCCTAGTAAATTCTGAAATTTCCTGAATCTACCTAAAAAAGAGAATGTAGAGATCAATGATTTGCATTGCTCCTTTATCCATCCCTTAATAATGTGCATCTTTCTTTCCTTTATATATGTATATATTGAACTGTGTCTTTGGGCAAAAATAATTTATTCATTCGATTCTTGATTTAAGTTTGGGCTAAATTTTGGTATGATAATTTTTCTACAGAGTGCGGTACCGCTTCGTTAATTAGTTAATCCTAAAACAAACAAATAAATAACTAACCAATCCTAATCAATTGAGGGCTCATAAAAAACGAAATTAAACCAATCAAGAAATTTTTAATGAACCCCATTGAGTAAAGACTTTCAATTGTAATCAAATTCTAATATGGATGTGATATGATATCTTTTCTATAAAAAAAAAATTTATGGTGTAAATCAGTTATAATGATTCTTAACTATATCTTATTGATTTAGCTATAATTCATTAAGGGGGTGTTTGGCAATCTGAAAGTGAATTTAAAATATGTAAGGTACTTTTTTTTACAAATGACTTTTACATCCATGTCAGCACGCAAGTGAAATACAGTGTTTGTTTGAAAAATTAAATTATTATCGAAAGTGCAATGTGAAGATGACGTGGCAAAATAAGATTAATTAGAAAATATAATTAAAATTATTTAATTAAATTACTTACATTTTTGTCACTTTCATGTGACTTCACCACTTTTTTAGGGGAAGTCAAAGTTGCATTAAATCTTATGTGGCAACTTTCTTACATCTCACTTTCATAACCACTTACATGAAAACAAACACCTTAATTGTTAAATGAAAGTAACTTTCTCACTTTCATCTTTCACTTGCATGCAAACAAACACCCCCTAAGATTTTTTAATTGTCATCATTCTTAGTTCTGCTGAATTAAGAACTGTTTTTTTGTAAATCTAATTTGAAAACTATTGTTAATTATAATCGAAGTCCAATTTGATATTATTTATTTGTAAATAGAAAATTTCATGGTTTGTGCCAAAATCAACCTTTACATAGGAGGGGCAAGATATTAGGAAGGAGAATCAATGGGCATTTGAGTGAATTTTATATAGTTTTGTTTAGTTCAAAAAAAATATAATGGTTCTAGGATCCAGGAAGTAATTATGTTTTGGCTAGGCTTAGTTGTATTCATGAAATTTGTCGGTTAATAAAACTATGCTCTTGAGTGAACATGTTTTTGGCATTTTCTGACAAAAAAAAATGATGGTAGCATTTAGTAATATAAATAGCGAAAAGAAAAACAGAAAAATTCAATTAAATAAGCAACGTACAAATAAATTGCAAATAAGTGTGCTTGCATATCAGTTGGGCTTTGTATGTAAAGCATAAGCATACAAAGTTAGTGACTTACAATTAGTTATAAAGTCGTATATATGATCTCAAATAGTTTGAATCCAGTGTAGATGATTTTGAAAGCCCAAGTAAATCGAAGAAACAAAAAAGCGTGAAGACTCAAGAAGCTTACTTTGGTTAGAAACAGTACTCTTTTCATATCTTTCATATCCTGCCCCTGCTGGCCCCGTGGTTGTTGGAACTATCCACTAAACTCAGATAATGCAGCGGAAATAAAATATGTGAAAAACTGAAAGCAATCAATACATAAACATATGAGATTTGTATAGTGATTCGGATAAAAATCCTATGTCTACTCTTTCTTTTTGCGAAGGACCTTCTTCAATATGACCGGAGTTCTTCTGAATCACAACTCAATTCAGTAGGTTTTACAGACAACGCCCTAGAATCTACCCGAAACCAATCGAAATACCCAGCTCCTCACAATGACCATAAGAAACCTAGCCCTGACTAACCACCATCAATTCACCTGGCTTGAGCAAGCCAACCCTTAATTACCCTGGCTTGAGTACGACGTCGAACTCATAAGTTTAAAAATACAAAACTAACCCAAAATAATTAAAACACAATTAAAAAGATCTTATAACCATTTAAGTAAATCGCTCTGCAAAATATTGATGTTGAAGATAAGTGAAGAAGCGATATTGTAGTTGAACATAAAGGACACTTCCTCTTGCTGAAACAATCCTCCGATGTTGAGCACGACGAGAAGAAGTTGAACGAGGCTTTCGGGGTTAAAATCTCAAAACCCTAGAATTTGATCTCTCCTTTTTCTTTTTTTATCTTCATTGTTTTATACTATCTCTATCTCCTCTTAAATAGGCCTTGATAGGACAGGAAAGATATTTGCAGATCAGAATCCAAATAAGAGATCAAATGGGTCGAGGAACAACTGAGATGAAATCTGAAAATCTACTAAAACACGTTGCGATCATTGATGGTTGATCACAATCATTAATGGTTGATGCTAATTATTGATGGTTGACTATAGTCCATCGACCGTGCAAATTCTAATTTTTAGAATTCAACGGTTATTTGTTATAGCCCACAGTGATCATCGATGGTTGACTACAGACCATCGATGTTTAATATCTGATTTCTATACGACAAGAACCCCTCGGTTATGATCACAAAAACCTTTGGTTTTGTATTAGAGTTTGTTTCTTTAGACGTATGAGCATGTGCTCGCACGCAAAATTTTTAGGTTGATAATGAACAGATTAATTTTTTTTTTTACTTCATTCAAAAGCTAACTTTTCTTCACTATTTCTTACTTTTGGACTATCAAAATTTGTGGGGGTAGAAAATCATTTACCACATAGATGAAGGAAGAGGCTATATATTATTGGATCCTCTTTTTTTTAAAAAAAAAATTTATGCGAAGTCATCAATCCATTATTAGTCCTCTCCGTTATGACCTTGGATCCCAATTTCGCGCCAAAACTAATATGCTACGAACATGGAACACAAAGAAACCATGTTTCTTACGGTATCAATCCCCCTGCAAGGCTCTCCGAAACAAACCACGTTATGCCACCAATAGCTGCCAGTACACACATCTCAAAGCACACGTGTCAGCTTTCCATTGAGCCCAGAAAATGAACATGTCATCTGAAGATACAGCTGATCTGAAAAAAGACGTGGAGGTAAGCTCACGTGGACGGTGATCATAGCACAAACTAGCCTTGCCGTTATATAAAACCGTTGAGGTCTGTTTCTCTGTAGAGACGACTTGAAACCTGATGGAGACTCTGAGGAAGTGTCCTCCTTGCTTCTTGGCCTTGGCCATTGCTCTCTCTGTCCTCTCTGTCGCCATGGCGACCGTCTTCTTCGAGGAGAGATTTGATGGTATGAGATTGTGTGTTCTTTCCGGGAATTTATTAGATATAAATAACGGGTTTTATTCAGTTTTAGTATTATTATGAGTCTATTATGTTCGTATAGATAAGAATGCGAGCGGAATGTTTTGAACCATATAGGTAGAGGTGGATAGTCCCTCCGCCAGAAAACCTCGCTTGCATGCAGAGTGTTTTAAGAAAATTTGTAATCTACTATGTTTAAACCAACATTTCTTTTTTTTTAACCCGAAATCTATGGGGAAAGATACAGAAGAGACCACCGACGTGCGATCTGTTTTATTTCTGTTCTTCAAATGCTAACCAAAATCAATATGTCTAATTTTCCTATAGTAGCTCAGCATAGTTTTGGTGCTCAAAAATATTTCTCTATTTAGAGGTTGTCATTCATTGATAATATAAATAACACTACTATAGCATGTAAATTGCGCTAGTTATCGCTCTATTTCAAATCAATCAAAATTTCTAATGAACTTGGAAAAAGAAAATATCTGCACCGCTTAGTTGTCCACCAACATTAATCATGTATTTTCCTTGTTCTAATTATTTCAGTTACATACATCATTAAATTATCTGAAACTTGTTGTTAAATTTTCCATGGAAAGATGGATGGGAGGGCAGATGGGTAATGTCTGATTGGAAAAAGAATGAGGATGCAGCAGGCAAATGGAACCATACTTCTGGTAATTGGAGTGGGGACCCTAACGACAAAGGTACTTGCACTCTTCATTTTTTCTCTGATTAATTTAAAATTTACTCAGAAAAATTTTCTTAAATTTTGTGCACTTTTTTTTTTTGAACTTCCTGTAGGCATTCAGACCGCTGAAGACTACAAGTACTATGCCATTTCAGCAGAGTTTCCAGAGTTCAGTAATGAACACAGGACTTTAGTTTTCCAATTCTCAGTTAAACATGAGCAAAAGCTTAACTGTGGTGGAGGCTACATGAAGCTCCTCAGTGGTATTATAGATCAAAAGAACTTTGGTAGTGACACACCCTATAGGTAATAATTACTCATATTCAATTATACTCCAATAGGATTAAATTGCAGATAACTCTCCCGTACCGTGGAAACTAGACGCTTATTACTCCTGAACTTCTTACTAGAACTTAGATTTCCTGATGTTCAAAGTGAGTTCTCTCTTCATTTTCTGTACCCATCATGTGAATGTCATGTGACGTCAATGTGCTGCAGAGGGATACGATCAGTGCGCTATAGAGCGGATGCCTGTTTTTCTCAAAACATACATATTCTATTAGAGAGAACTTTTTTTGTATATCAATAGGTCAAGGTGGCAATAAAAATATTTTACAAGTTATAAGTGGCTGACCTCTATAGTATATAAGGTGCATTAGCGATTAGCCCCGTATCATACAAAAATCTCTTTTCTAATTAGTGCCTATGTACGAAAATTGCAGCATCATGTTTGGGCCAGATATATGCGGAGAGACCTCTAAAAAGGTTCACGCCATTCTTGCACATAATGGGAAGTATCACAATGTCAAGAAGGATATTTCATGGGACAAGGATCAACTAACACATGTGTATACCTTAATCATTCATCCTGATGCTTCGTATAGAATCCTAATTGACAGTGAAGAGAAGGAGTCAGGGAGTTTGTTCACTGACTGGGGTATTCTTCCTCCTAAAGAGATTAGAGATCCTGAGGCCAAGAAGGTTATTTTCTTCTTTTATATTTACAAGAATCAGTTCAAACGTCAATTCTAGCTAGTTTAACATTTATATTGACTTGTTTGTTGACATTTTTCAGCCAGAAGACTGGGATGATAGAGCCTATATTATTGATCCTGAGCATAAGAAACCTGAGGTATTTTGCTTATTTAATGGTTTCTTTCATCAAGGATGTTTTGATAAAATTGCTCCTGCGTAGTATAAAGTTTGGTGAGTTTATGGTAATAAAGTTAGAATTATAATCATGTTACAGTAATCACATAATATTAAGATGTATACACTGGAACCAAATAAGTCAAAGTCTATAACATGCACAAAACTGGTATCATTTGCCTCCACCCAAACTTTTGAACTATGTACACTTGGTTTTAGTTTTATTGAACTTTTTAAATTACTATTACATACAGTAGCTCAATGTACATCATATTTTTGATATCTTTACTAATATTATACTCTTATTTGTTGGTGAAGGGATACGATGAGATTCCGAAGGAAATACCAGACCTTTTTGCTGAAAAGGTGAAAATTTTAATTTATTACTTTACAATTCCTTGATATTAAGTAACTATTAACATTAATTATGTTACAGCCGGAAGATTGGAATGCAGACGAAAAGGGTGAATGGAAACCACCGATGATCCCAAACCCTGAATACAAAGGACCCTGGAAAATAAAGGTTCAAGAGATCATTGTGACTTAATTTTATCTCCACAAAATTGCATGAGCTTACTTTCTCTGTATTTATTTTATCAGAAAATTAGGAACCCTGATTACAAAGGAAAATGGGAGGCTCCAATGATCGAAAACCCAGGTTTTGTATTGCTTTTATATGTCCAATATATACTTTTTTAAGTAGACATTTTTATTTAGTGAAAACAATACATAACTACAAATTTACAATGTAACATGCAGATTACGAAGAGGATCCGGGTATTTATATATATCCCAATATGAGATATGCAGCAATTGAGTTATGGCAGGTAATTTTTTTCCCCCGAAAATTCATAGATTGCTCAGGCTCTCGAATTATTAATTCCCGATTTTTTCGTGTAATAGGTAAAGGCAGGTACCCTGTTTGATAATATCTTAATCTGTGATGATCCTGAGTACGCCAAGAAATTTGCTGAAGAGACATGGGGAAAGTTGAAGGATGTATGACTCCTGAGATTGTGAATTCTGTAATGAATTAATTTTCTTTTTTTATAACAAATAAATTGACTACGAGGCACTAAAATTTTTGCAGGCTGAGAAGAAAGCATTTGAAAAGGTTCAGAAGAAGGTGGCAGAGGAGGTGAAATTAAAACTAGTTTCTTATACCAATTATTTTGTTGGTTTAGTACATCATTTTAAATGATTATTAGCTGACTATCTTCTGATTTCTTTGATTAACAGGAGGGCATTCTTGCTTCAACAATTGTAAGCACGTAGCTGTGACTAAAAGCACCATAAGATACTGCTTTATTATTATTTCAGTATCAAGTGCTGCAATTATTATTATTTTTCTCTGAATTTTTTTTTTGATGTAGGATGACGAACATGATGATGAGCCAGACGATGAAGAACCTGATTTCTCGGACATTATGAAGAAGGAGAAAGGACATGTATTATTTCTCAGCCTGAACTTTTATTCATTTTATGCAAATTTTTTTAGCCTAAGGTTAGTTCTAATTTATTTTGGTTAAATTTTGTTCCAGGATGAACTTTAAGGAGTTGCATGGGAAAAAGGCTAGATTCGATTTTTCAAACGTGCTCGAGGATAAATTTCGTTGCAAACTTGCCAATGTCAGTCGTCGTAATAAGCCTAGAGCTTGATGAATGTGAAATGGAATGTTAATAAATATGCAAACTTTTGCATTGCGTGAACGGATTTTGGAGGTCTAATTGATTCGCTAATGTCTAAAATCAATTGGACATGCTTTTATTGATTATATGTGTCTGAAAAAGTTGTTGGCTTGATGGACTCAATAGAAAGAGAACAATCTTCTAAAGAACTTGTTGTGACTGATGCTTTGAGAAACCAAACCAACGAACGCCGAGAGAAAGACCAAACAAAACACAAACACCAAGGTTTTACGTGGTTCGGCAAATTGCCTACGTCCACGGGGCAAGAAGGGGGTGGGTTTTCACTAATAGAGAAGGAGAGTACAAATTGAGATTACAAATCGCTCAAACGAACCAACTAATCTCACCAACAAATCTCTCAATCTCTCAACCAATAACCCTAACAAATAGCTCAGAAAGATCTCTCTTTTTCTGTGCTCCAAAACCCCAAAACTCTCCCCACAAAACCCTCAAATCGTATTGGTATTTATACCAAAACAGAAACCCAAACAGACTGCAAATAGGAACCTGAACTTTCCAAAAAACCCGTCATAAGTCGACTTATCAGTCTGCATAAGTCGACTTGGCAGAGCGAAAAACAGCAACTGGAGAAGAGATCATAAGTCGACTTATCAGACCTGATAAGTCGACTTGGCAGAGCAAAAAACCAACAATCCAGAGCAGAACGTAAGTCGACTCATGCACCAACATAAGTCGACTTACCATAAGTCGACTTATGCCTGTGCATGAGTCGACTTATGACCAAAAATCTGCTTTTTCCAATTCTTCTCCACAATTCTCCACCTCGGCGAAGTTTTCCCAAAACTGAGCCGACACCAACCAAACAAATGCCTCACATGCTGAGACCCAAATGAGAGTGTGAACACTCACCCCAAATGTCGATGTCGCTCACCAAATCGGCTGCATCAAAATGACTGCCTACGTATCCTTTGCCCAAGGAATCAAGCCTTCACGTAGTTCACCCAAACGGCCTCCAAAGGCCCTCAATCAAATAGAAAAGTCTGCAACTCTTCTCCAATATCACCAAACGATCTGCAACTGATAGTATTCCCAATGACCCCAAATTGAGACAAATCAAACACCTCCACCTGAGGTAAACCAATGGCCATATCCAAACTATATCTACCAGCTGCAACTGAATCCAAAACCAATCCATCATCTGCATCCAAAACCAAATGATCTCCAACCTGTGTCACCTTAGCTGGAATCCCAAATGACGCAGTATGATCTGGAGTATGTGGAGTAATCTCCACCCAACGTGGAGTAGCATCACTCTCCACCTGCTGCGATATCCAAATGACCTGATCAACACTCTCCACCTGCCGAGAGTCAAAAGTGACATACCTGCTCAGAACAAAATCAGAAGCTCCCAAACGATAATCAACTGAGCCTCCGAACCCCAAACGCGCAATCGGATCCAATCTCACATCCACGATGTGACCAAATGCTGGGTATCCAAATATCCGACGCGACCCAAAATCTGAAGCAGCTCCACCAGATCTAATAACTCCTAAAGCAGCAGTCGGCGACCTATGCATAAGATGACCCAAATATGTCGAAGCCCGCACACCAATGCCAATGCTCGACATCAAACGCCGATCCTCCTCCAGAAAGGAACGACCCATCGAAACTGTCATCTCATCTCGTCGCCCCAAAGTCTCCACACCAATGAAGTGTCTCCTATTGCCGTGAGCTCGGCACCAACGCAAGAAAGGACCCCTACCAAAGCTGAAACAATGAGTTACCTTTCTGCCAATACACTTCTTCCAATTGTTGTTGACTTCTAGGACTTTACACCAACGGGAACTGGTCGCGACCCAATAATGCCTAGAACAATCACCAACTGTGGAAACCAAGATACGATTACCTCCCAATGATGCCTCCTTGGAAGGCCCCCAAATGCCTGACTGAACACCTCCAAAAAGACCCCTCGCTCGATGGATAGAAGTGCCAAACTCCACCACGGTCTCGCTCATCCTAATGTGCTCACAGGACTTCAATCTGCAGGTCATAGCACTCCTCAACAACCAATGCACGGTATTACCAATCATATACCCCAGCACCAAACAATGCCACAGTCTAGCCGAATCTGATGAAGTCGTCATTTCCCTATCAATCACCGTGCTTCCGTGCAAATAATACAAATTTCTTCTTCTGACGCCCTTCATCACAATCATGGACCCAAATGTAACCTTCAAGCGTGCATCCGCCAAGGTCACCCTATAGCCAGCTGCCTCCAAAGCTCCAAGTGAAATGATGTTCTTCTTCAACTGAGGAACGAACCTCACTCCAACCAACTCCCGAATCACCCCGTCACTCATCCTGATCCGAACAGTACCAATACCACCAATAGAGCATTTGTGATCATTCCCCATGAGCACGAAATCCCCTCTTTCCAACTCCTGAAAGCTGGAGAACCAATCCCTCCTAGGGCAAATGTGGTATGTAGCACCCGAATCCAATATCCACTCTGTAGAGTAGGCAACACAAACTGACGGCAGTGCAGATAACGAGTAGCCCGAAGAATCCGAATCTGAATCGTTGCCACTAGCCTTGACAACATTCGCCTCTGAAGCTTGAATAGCTTTTCCCTTATTCTTCCCGGCTCGATCAACTAACTTTGGGCAATCGGCTTTCCAATGTCCATCTTCTTTGCAAAAGGCACATTGATTCTTACGAACTCCAAGATGTGCCCCTCTAGACTGCGACCTCCCACTACGGTTTGGACCCTTTGCTCTTGCGACCAACGCCCCCGCTACCGGCTCAAACGAAGTCTCCTTATCCTTCTTTCGAAGCTGATAATTCACAAGTGCAGCGGTGACCTCACTATACGAAAGAGATGCCTTCCCATTAATAAGAGTAAGAACGAAGGTCTCATATTCCTCGTCAGGCAAGGAACTCAATAGCAACAACGCCTTGTCCTCATCTTCAATCTTAACATCCACATTCGCCAAATCCGCAAGAAGCTTCGTGTAGTGGTTCATGTGATCACCAATGGAGGTTCCTTTCTTCAACTGGAAGCGGTAAAGCCTCCTCTTCAAATGCAAGCGATTCTCCACACTCTTGGTCAAATACTTGCTCTCAAGGATCTCCCAAATCTTCTTTGCAGAAGTCTCATTGATCACATCATACTTTAGATCTTGAGTGAGACAAGACCTAATCACACCACACGCCGTTCGATTCATCTTTTTCCAAACCTTCTCATCAATGTTGTCCGGTTTCCCGTCCAACTCCAACGTATCTTCCAAATTTTGCGCGTTGAGCGCATCCATGACTTCGCATCGCCAAAGTCCAAAATTGTTTGTGCCATTGAACTTTTCCACATCAATCTTCATTGAGTGGATATTCAAGCTTTGGACGGTCTTCACGCCGGAAGTACTGCCCACAACTCCTTCTTTCTCGGCCATAATCCTCAAGGCACCACCAAACCAATGCGGAAACAAACGAGAAATAGATCCAAACTGAAAAAGACGAGATTTTTACAAAAAAAGATCCCACCTTTATCACCAAACGAAGCCCTAGATGAACTTCCAAAGCGATCTACTCCTCCAAATAGCCCAAGCGTTGCCCGTGCTCTGATACCACTTGTTGTGACTGATGCTTTGAGAAACCAAACCAACGAACCCCGAGAGAAAGACCAAACAAAACACAAACACCAAGGTTTTACGTGGTTCGGCAAATTGCCTACGTCCACGGGGCAAGAAGGGGGTGGGTTTTCACTAATAGAGAAGGAGAGTACAAATTGAGATTACAAATCGCTCAAACGAACCAACTAATCTCACCAACAAATCTCTCAATCTCTCAACCAATAACCCTAACAAATAGCTCAGAAAGATCTCTCTTTTTCTGTGCTCCAAAACCCCAAAACTCTCCCCACAAAACCCTCAAATCGTATTGGTATTTATACCAAAACAGAAACCCAAACAGACTGCAAATAGGAACCTGAACTTTCCAAAAAACCCGTCATAAGTCGACTTATCAGTCTGCATAAGTCGACTTGGCAGAGCGAAAAACAGCAACTGGAGAAGAGATCATAAGTCGACTTATCAGACCTGATAAGTCGACTTGGCAGAGCAAAAAACCAACAATCCAGAGCAGAACGTAAGTCGACTCATGCACCAACATAAGTCGACTTACCATAAGTCGACTTATGCCTGTGCATGAGTCGACTTATGACCAAAAATCTGCTTTTTCCAATTCTTCTCCACAGAACAATCTTCTACAAATAGGCCCCTGAGGATAAAAAAAAGTAAAAAAAAAATCACTGAAGGGATCTACCTGCACCAATAAAATTAGAGAGGCAGTAAGCTCAAAGCCACCATACTACTGGGGGTCTACTTGCAACCCTTTTTTTTTTTACTTCAGTGAGTTCAATTTAGAGTCACAAACAATATTATCTCCAACATTTTTATGTATCCCCATGGCTTCTTTGGTATAATTATATAGTGCTATTGAGAATTCTATGTTGATTCTACTGAAGTTCTGTCCGTAGCCTCAACTTTTGGAGGACAACGTACTGTAGTACTAGATAATATATGCTCATCACAATATATAACTGGCCTTAACTTGGAGCAAAAGAACACAAGTCACCCAAGTTATTTTTTGCTGCTTTATTCAGTCAAGCTTTCTGGCATCTGTTTGCATGTGGTCGGTACTAGAAATTAATGAGAAACATGCATAATTGTACCTTACTAAATTATTTGAACTTCTTTACTGGTTAGTTAAATGGATTCATTTTAATTAAGGGTTAATTGCAGATAGACCCCCGCCCCCCCTAATCATCGCTGAACTGCGGATAGACCCGTGTAGTTCTTTAGCAGCAGATAGAGCCCTGAGTGAAATTTTTGACTCTTTTACCCTCAGAGAAAGACGTCCTGACTCCTGAGGGTAAAAGAGCCAAAAATAATTAACTCTAGGGTCTATCTGCAATAATAGAACTACATGGGCATATCTGCAATTAACCCCTATATATAATTAAGGTGATATACATTGGACAAATTTTCAAAACCAACCTATTTGGATTTTTATTCCCAAAAAACGACCCCATTCAGTTTTATTTGCAAAAACCGACCTGGTTTCAGCCTCAGCGCTGAAACCAGGTCGGTTTTTGAAAAAAACTCTCCGAAACTTCACGGGAGTTGAACTCCCGTGAAGTTTTTTGAACTATGAAACTTCACGGGAGTTCAACTCCCGTGAAGTTTCGGAGAGTTTTTTTCAAAAACCGACCTGGTTTCAGCGCTGAGGCTGAAACCAGGTCGGTTTTTGCAATTATTTTTGAATGGGGTCGTTTTTGGGGAATAAAAGTCCAAATAGGTTGGTTTTGAAAATTTGTCCGATATACATTTCATTGCTGATGAAGACATACAAAACTCTTTGAGCAGCCATCTAGTATCTAGGATATGTGACATTTTGAGTGAGTAAAGGAACTAGGAAAATTCTATCTTTTATCTGCAACCATAGTCAGATAAAAAGCCTAACTCTTATTCAAGGAAATTTGGAAGAAATTTTTTTTTATAGTCAATATGTTGCTTGGCTTCTGTTTGTTCTCTTGACAGGTTCTTTACTTTGCTTATTCATTGTAGATTCCCAGGACTTCACCTCAAAGACAAGAATAGTTTGTTGATCAAACAAAAGCAAAGACAAGATGCCAACTTTACAAATTACTCTAAAAAGGGGACTGCACGTATTGTCATTGACTTATCTTTTGGATAAGAAAGATACATTTCATCATTAAAAAAATATAAAAATTATATAAATCAAATTTACAATTTTTCCTGTGTCTATTAACATGAAGCTGGTCATGGTTGAATTTGAATCCTGTGTTGTTGCAATGCTTCATCTTCAACTCTCCGAGTCACTGATGAAGCATCTCTTCTCTGATTCAAACAAGAAATCATAGGTTTAATTCGACTGTTAAAAAATATATACATACACACGCATACATACATATGTACATAAATATATGTAACTCATGACGATTATGAAATATGATCGAGAGCTCACATTAATCTGAAGACGACGCTGATGCTGCCATTGCCTCTTTTGGATGGCTGATATAATTCTCAATATCAAATATAACGGCAACAGAATTCCAACTGCCCTTAGAAAAATAACCTGCAGGTTGGATTTATAGAAATAAGAGACTAACATAAAAATAATAATAAAGCTTCAAAATTCAACTGATGACATGAAATTTTTTTAGAACTCAATTACTTACAGTGATAAGTGCAAAAGGATAATGTCCTTCTCCAGTCATTATCACGTCGATAAGATGTTTACACAGTAGTAGCACCATGAACTATATCCACAACGGAAAATTTTAAAGCTAATTAGTCCATGAAATTAAAACCAATGTATAATTATAAGAAGCGCAATATTCACGAAACCCCTTGAGTTTTGGGTGTTTTGCACAAAATCCCCTAAACTCTGGGATGTTTTACGAAAATATCAGGACTGAAGCCAATTAGTTTAAGTTGTCACATGAGAGAGATTTTTGGGAATTGAGGAGAGTTTTGTGAAGAACACCCCCCAAAGCTTTGGGCTTTTTTGTTTTGTGTTTTGTTTTGCGTGGTTGTCAAATTTACACTGAGAAGAATTCAAGATTATGTTGAGTTAAACTCACAATTAGAGCTAATGATCTAAATGTTGTAGTTCTATCGGATGGAGGTGAGCACTCAGGGTACTCGGTATCCGACTCCTCAGCAATGAGCTCTGTGTTTTCAGATTCATAGTTCAAACTGGTGGCCTCCAAACTTCCTCTGCAAGCAAACAATTGCAAACAATCACAGTTCATTAGCACCTATTAGATATAATTATTAAATCAACAAAAAAAAAATTAATGCTCAAATCAAAACTGGTCCCACAATAATGCCACAATTGTTTGTGTTTAGTGGACGATTGTGATTTGTATCGACTAAAAAAGTGAAAAACATATGTAATTCGCAGAGATATCATGACAAAATACGATGACCGTTATAATTAGGACTAAGGGTAAATTGTGTATAGACGCCCCGTAGTATTGTTTGAACCTGTTGCCTCTCTAGTTTTATTTTTGCACATAAA